TTCCGATGTCCCAGGACAAAAAGAAATTATGTAAATGCTACCGCATAAAGCGGGAGGGAGGGATTTGTATGAAATGGAGATTGGCTCAGACAATGCGGGTTAAAAGATAGGATGTAAATGTGTATACATAAATAAGGAGACTCGTGCGCATCAAAAGAAAATAGTGCTTTACAAAGGTCAAGGATACAGCAGGATGCCGGCCCCCTTCAAATAAGGGATACCATTTATGTCGATCTAAATTGAAAGAAATTCAAACAAGAGAAGTTTATAATTGATGACCAAGCCACTTCAATCTTACTACACCAGCTTCGAGGAGAGGTGATACTTGTCTCCTGAAATTCCAACTTCCGCGTTAAATTGGTGTAAGCGATAAAGCTTTGATGGACAAAATTAAAGCGGTTGGCTATATATTAGGCGTTGGTTGGGTAGGACGATCTGGTCTGTGAATTGAATTAAATGTGTTAGATGAAGTTTTGACGGATGTAACTGTTTGAAGGGGGTTGTGAATGGAATCAATGTGCTAATTAGTCTCCGCGTACAGCGGTTTAAATGGTTTTCGGTAGAAATAAAATAAAATGTTTTAAGTTTGTCTGTTGAATTAGAAGAGAAATGTTTAAGTCCGCGGTAAGGCGTTAAAACGACCTATCGTGAGGGATGTTATTAGTAGCCAAATATCTTTGTAGCTTGTAATCAACATCCCTCGTAAGCTAGACACCTTTACAGCGTAAATAATTGTAGAGGTGGAATGGCGGGTGGTCGTAGATCTGGAGATGGGAGGTCGATTGAGGGGAAAATGTATACTCTAAGCTTTTTTTTTCTTTATTTATATATTTGTTTATCAATGATATTTTTATTTTCATTATTGTAATATGTCATACACATTAGTTACCACAGATGAGGCTTGATTTCAAATTTTCTCAATCATTCGGTCTCTCAATAACTGCATATCTTATACAGTTTTATCATCAAATGTTGCATTTTGGTCGCAAATTCTTCTTGGCATGATTTCTGTTCTAGAACACATGGTCTATCATTCTTGTACTTGTCTTCTAGAACACATGGTCTATCATTCTTGTACTTGTCTTCTAGAACACATGGTCTATCATCCTTGTACTTGTCTTCTAGAACACATGGTCTATCATCCTTGTACTTGTCTTCTAGAACACATGGTCTATCATCCTTGTACTTGTCTTCTAGAACACATGGTCTATCATCCTTGTACTTGTCTTCTAGAACACATGGTCTATCATCCTTGTACTTGTCTTCTAGAACACATGGTCTATCATTCTTGTACTTGTCTTCTAGAACACATGGTCTATCATTCTTGTACTTGTCTTCTAGAACACATGGTCTATCATTCTTGTACTTGTCTTCTAGAACACATGGTCTATCATTCTTGTACTTGTCTTCTAGAACACATGGTCTATCATCCTTGTACTTGTCTTCTAGAACACATGGTCTCCTCATCCTTGTACTTATCTTCTTATGTTTTGTCGATTTTTTTGTTGATATTCTCAAACGTGTGACGTTTCCATGACAAGTTCACCTTCATCAGACAAATGATCAGTGTGGAACGTACTAACACTGACGTACGTAGTGGACGAGATGGTCAGAAATTGACCAACGTTTTCGGAAGTATTACGTAAAACAAGGTCGGAAATGGTGTGATGAGATGGTAAACAGGTTATGTTATAGACAAAAAAATACAAAAGATGGTAATAATTAATTGTAGTCAATTCAGCTAAATAAAATTGCACTGTTGGAATATTGTAACTAGGCCTAGATGCGAACGAGACAGTGCTGCTGGTCCTCTGGAAAATGCAGAAACATGTTGTTGACTAATCATCGGAAGAAACAATTAGTTAGAGAACGGGACAACGCTAAATATCTACATTCATTCAGACCTCAAACAGAAAATTGTAATCCTGTCAACATTTCAACTGCATTACAACGGAATTTTAAATAACATAAAGAGACACAGCGAAAGATATGGAGATTCGATGACGTGAAGTACATGCATGCTTAATCTCGAGGAAATTGATTGAAATATTTTGGTATTATGTCGTCTGTTCTGTCAGTGCTGAATTCCGACATCATCTTTGGTTCTGCAAGATGTTCGCAATAATAGCAACCAGTTTCAACTCAATATCGTCAGCATACCATTCCTTTAGCTAACTTTGACAAAGTAAAAATGAACCAAGAGGTATCAAAGGGCCTTTATCTCCGTTTATAATATATCGATAAATAGACATTATCATTAAGCTGGTTTCTTTTACATATAAAGAAGCTAAATCTTTTAAAAATTACCCCACAAAGTGGGAAAAACCAAATTAAAAAAGGGCAACGAAGAAAATGCTGACATTAAAAAAAATATTAATTGAAATTCAAATTTGATTAAACAATGTCAAAATATCAACAGAAGAATATTTTTACGTAGACGCTTGAAAAAAAGGAGAATTTTACCATGTGTTCCGGAATGGTAAACGTCTTCCACTAACTTGGACAATGCAAGTAAGAAAAATGAGGACAATGTTCACATTATCTGGTCCACCAGGCGTACTAACAAGCATTAGATACATCCAGCTTCATATCATCGCTACAAGCAAATAGGGTTATCAACAAATTGCGTTTTTTTCGAATGAAACCCATATATCATATAAAATCCTATCGTATTTCCTATAGGGATCGTTGTAATTGGGTCACATTTTCTGTCACTTTTTGTCATCTATGAATATCAGGCTAGAAGCCTTGAGTTGATAAAGGTTTCAAGTCATATTAAGATTTATAATTGAAGGATAAATCAACAATACAGATGCCGATCACATGCACAATAGTCACAATAGTTATGCTACCCAGAGCCTGCGAAGAATGTGACAGACTGGTATGCAACGGGCCGGCCAGTATTGCAACAGCAACCACCAGGGACACGGTCAGCTACCAAGACGTGGAGACAAGACTCAAGGTGGGCTTTTCATTTAGTGTTGGTGTTGGGGATCATGTTCTGAGATAGATCGATGATGCTGATATGCACATGATATATTGAAATTGTGTTAGCCGTGGGCTACATTTTGTATACACTTCGTGCGCCGTCTCGTCCTTGGGCACGACGAGTCGGGACCGGTCAAAATAACTGGATTTTGAACGTATTTCCTCGGAGAAAGGTGACAAGACTCCCAATGTGTGAAGAGACTGTAGTGTAACATTTAGATAGTAGGTGTGGAAGATAGAGTGGGTGAATGTGAGTGTGTTATTGTCTATATTTAGCGTATGTAGTGTAAATAAACGTGTATATATATGTATTGCAGTATCTCTTGTGTTTTTTCCTATGAGTGCCGAACTGAGGCTCGTCCCGCGTTACAGTCACGTACAGAAAATATGAGCTGTCTTAGAATTGTGAGGAAATACAAAGAACGATAATAAGCAAAACAGTTTATGAAACACTATGCACGTTGTGATAATGAATTTGTTAAAAGCCCTACCACTCACGGTGCAATAGCTAAGGCCAATGTTAAAATGAAGCCAAAGGTCACGGTCAAGATCACATGGTCAAAAATGTTGGTACCACCAGCAAAGGTCTTGTCACTAGGAACACACATATCAAATATGAAAGCTCTACCTCTTACGGTGCAATAGTTTTCGCAAAGGTTAAAATTGACAACAGACAAACAGACAGCACAAAAACAATATTCCCCTATATTTCGAAACGGCATGAAAAAATCATATTCCTGTTACAGATTTTCGTTGGGACGGGTGGAAGAAAAGAAGCTGTTTCCCCATTGCGTGATCATAAAAGGCGACTAAATTTGGTACACGTGTTTTCTCTTTTACTTAACAACTATTTGTTTTAACGTCAACTTTGACGCTGTCTCATTTCCGGAAATCGGGTAAACGTTTGTATTTGTGAGGAAGGAAGACTTTGCTTTCTGTTGGAGGTATTTCACGTTAAAATCAAGTAGTATCAACTCTTTCCTGTTTAGCGTTCAGCATCGTTACTCGTTTGCCCGTTGTCAGTATGATGTGGCCGGACACGGCGTACATGTACATGTCCTTCTAGAAGTCATCGGGAGTCAAACTCAGCATTGTAGCACAAGATTAACAAGAAATATCGCAACCCCTTCCCTCACTCAACACACGAGGTCAGTTGTTGACATGATATCAAACAATACAAGACTCGAACTAAACTATCCTGGAACCGATTTAATGCCATAAAATAAATAGTTAATTTATATATCTATTGATCACTGATTATTGTCCCGTAATTCAGTGAATAAAAAAATGTATTAAATGTCCTTTCGTATCAGAACATGTGTGATATAACCTGTTGCTAAAATGACGTTAAGTTTAATTATAAATTGACGTCACACACTCACAAATTGCATTGTGACGTAACAATGGAGACCATAGATAAAACGCGGAATTACGTGAAAACTGAGAATATTCGAAGTCCGCGCTATCGTTAATTGATTTCTTTTGGACTCTCTTGATAATATCAACTGGAGACTCTGTAGCCACTATTCTAGTTTGATGGGATTTGGTGAACAGTAAGATGTAGGTTCATACCAGGTTATGATGAATTTTGTGGTACAAGGGAAGCAACTCTTACTCTTTGAGGAATACAGAAAAGTATATAATGTTTCCATCTTAGGCCTATTGAAAACAATACATGCAAAAGTTGAAGCAAAGTAAAGGCTTAAAGTAACCACTTACTAAGATGTATACTGTAGTGACGGCTGTTAAACTGATAATTTTAAAATGTTCTATTGTAAATTTAACATTACAAGCCAATTCAATTGTTGATTTGATAAATTTTTCGTAATATATTAAAATTTTGTGTTTCCCAAAAAAAGATGCCCATGAAAGAGGGGCGTACAATCATACATTTGATACTCTCTAGTTTTATTATATTTTGTGTGTGAAAGGCTTCTCAAAAAAACTTTTTTTCAGCCAATGAGCACTCCGCAAAATCAAAGCGTCGCATTTTCACTCCACTGACTTCCGGTATGAAACAAAAGCAGGTGATCGTGCAAAATCTACAAATATCTCTACATTTTCTCGGTAAGGAATTCGTTTACAATGTTCAACCGGTTCAGATGGAAAATTGAATTCATGTTCTTCATGGTATTTCAAGCAAAACGGTCAATATTTACCATGGAAGAATCACCCCCCGGCTGATAAGCGGGGGGAGGTAGTTTATTCTTGTAGTGAACGTGAACGTGTCACACGAAAGGGACATGACATGCATAGTCTTGTGTCATGACAAAATTGTCAATGAACGCATTTATATAAAGATAATTATTCATACCTTGTTTTATAGTTATAGACTATGTCCTTGTGCTGACGCCAAACTTTATGTTACTCTCATTGAAAATATTTGTTTTTGGGAGCATTGGCAAGCAAAATAAAAAAAAAAATGGAGATGAGCTTTCGCGTGGAATGAAAAAGACAAACTTGATATTTAACACATAGCTCATGAAAGTTACATTTTCGTTTTTAGACAATTTCCCATATAATTATTCGGACGATGTGATAAATATGAATGATGAACTCGGGGGCAAAGTTCACCCTAAATTACTGATTTTGGAAATAGTGACACGTCTACTAATAGAAAAAAAATGGGGCGAGGGGGGCTAATATTTAAAAAAAAAATAAATAAAACTAGGTCATTGGGTTGAAACTTCTTTCATTCTTACTGTGGGGGAAACTGCAGTGTCCAGGGGAAACACATGTGTGCAGTATTTTTGTTGAACTTTTTCTAGTGAATCTGGAGGATAATTTCCAAGATTTTGATGAGTCCATTTTCAAAGAAGTCCCAAAATTCACTGACATGGTTTGGCAATTGACCCCATCGTGCCTTTGTAGAAATTGAGAGTACAGATTGCTTTACTACCCTAGGCTAGTGGTAGAGTGTCTGTATAGAGACCAAATGGTCGCTAGTCCAAACCTCAGCGGTGGCAGGATATTTTTCATTACCTCTTCCTATTACACCCTTTAACATCCAATGGGAAATTTTGGTCTAGTTACCAAGTTTAGATAGGACTTTTGTCGCCTGACATCTGTGTACATTTGTAAACTGTATAGGTACATATATACTTTTCTTGCTGTTTCCTAAAAAGTGAATTCCTCTCTGGGCATTGTTACACCTGAGATGATTTTTAAAATTAGAATCTCAACGAAATGAAGTAAAATGAAAAGAAATGGACTTTTCTTTGCTAAAAATAATGCACATAATCCATTTTTATTATGAAATAGTCTCTTCCAAAGAGGGACAATTATTATAAGATGCAAATTAGATTGTCCTTGACCCATAAACATCTACTGATTAGTTGATACATTAATATTTGTCAATTTGATGCCATCTATAGAATCTAGGGCACGCTTTGTAATGCACACTTGGAGAAGTGATGATAGTTTTTTATGTTGACTGGATTCACTGCCTTAGTACAACTTTTATCCGTTCTGCATTTTGTATACTTTTGTTCCATATTGTTCAATCCATGCCTTTGTAAATCCTGTGCTATATACCAGTACAGAGAATGGAAATAACAGGAATCAAATTTGGTTTTACCCTTTTGGTTAAAACCTACTATCTGGAATAGGTTTTCAGCATTATGATTTCAAATTGTTAATATATGTGTTTGGTAAATTTATTTGTATTTTTCTTAACCAGTTTCCTATGTTTTTATTTCAACTTGAATGTTTGAAGAGATATTTTGTAGGTCATCATAATTTTTCAACCACATAGTTAAGATTAAAAATTTGCAGTTCTGCAAAAAAGTTCCATCAAGTCAGCTGTCCAGGGCTGATCAGGATGCAGTTTTTTTTGTCTTTTTTTGTGTTCTTTTTTAATCACTTTCAATTGCAACATAACACTATAAAGTGAATAAGGTTTTGAAATATCTTCTATTTTTTTCAGATTGACTTGGAGATAATCAAATGGAGTTATAAACATGTATCAACAGGCTGTTGGTGCTTTAACTAGTGAAACAAGCATTCTACAAGATGGACATGACACAACAGCAACAACTGCTGTGCCAACATTGTTCCATGAAGCGGTGACAAAGATCACAGACACGGCTAATATCCTGACTCCAATGCAACACCTTCCTAAAACTATTACAATGCAACTCAGCACCTCCACTGCAACTACTATCCCCAGAGATTTAAAATTACCACATCAACTCCTTGTAACTCCCCACGGTCTAGTTAACCAAAGTGATAGTCCATCTTCTTCTCCAGAGAAACTCTCTGTCAAGGTGGAGCCTTCTGTTCAGATGGACTTGATGGATACATTTCCGTACAATGACGATGGAGATAAAGCTCTGATGAAAATTGTTGGTGACAACAGTAAAAGTCCTAATGATAAAAGGGGAGACAATTCAGCTGGTATCAGCTCTCAAAACAATGTGTCCAATGATTTTGATGCAGATATTAATACAATTGTAATAACTAATGATGAAACGGGGGAACTTAAGATGACATTTTCTGATAATGCTGTTGGACAGTATGAAGAAATTGGGGAGAAACCAGAACCAAGGGAGTCAGACATTGGTGATTCTGGTTTAGGAGATGTTGATTTAAATTCTTTTACAGCATTGAATGAAACAGGAGATAAGGTCAGTGGTGTAACACCAATTAGGAAAAGTGACCGTTCTATTAAAATTAATTCAGTATTTGGTGATGAGGATGGAAGAAAGATTCCTGGTTTTGGAAGAGCTCTTGTTGCACATATGATGAAAGAATCAGATGCTAATGGACAGACAGTGAAAAATGGAGGCAGAAAACCTAAAGTGAAGAGAAGCAGAAAGCAAATGGATCCTAAGAAAACCAAGCTCAATGTGGATGATATTTATGAGAGTGAAGATGGTGATGGAATGGACAGTGATAGTGATTTATCAAAAGATCTTCTTAAGGTTCGTATGTTGAAGTGTGACTTGTGTGGCAAGCATTTTCTTGACAAACAAAAGTTGCAGACACACAGAAAAACCCACAACAAAAACAAAAAAAATGAATCATCTTTCTCTGCAACATCAAGTCAAAGCAATGGATCCAGAAAAGTCTATCCCTGTGAGGTATGTGGATACACATTTCGTCGCCGAGAACATTGGCGACGACATAGACTTACTCATCTTGATGCCACACCATACAAGTGTCCTATTTGTGACCGTGGTTTTAAACGAGCAGAGCATGTCAGACGCCACCAGACGGTCCACACACGTATAAAAGCATTTGATTGTAATTCTTGTGACAAAAAGTTCACCAGGTCTGAACATCTAAAGAAACACATGTTGCTTCATCTTGGGAAAACACCATTTGCAAGAAAAAAGAAAGCTGATCATTGAAGAAGTCTATGTTCTGTGTTAACAGTAATTTTATTTGTACTCAACACCTGTGCTATGATGTCTAGGATCTTGTGTCATCATTGTACATTAAGCGACTGTGCCACTTATCTCACACAACACACTAGATTTGAGTGCTGGTGTATACAAATTAATTGTAACATAATAAGTTGTCAGAGGAAACAATGATTTCTGAAAATATTATCAAAAAAGAAATTTCAGAACTCTGTCTAAAGTTTTCTCATCACTGAAATTGTTTGGGGTTTTTTTTGTAGCTGTACAGTGATGTTATTGGTGATTAAAAATTTATCTGAGCCTATATTATTAACACCATAAGTCACAAGGATAAATATCCTGTTGTATGGCTATCAACATCTATGCTGTACTGAATATAAGCATAGTGTGTTTTTAACTTCAAGGTTGTTTTCAGATTTACAGTTGAATAAAGTTTTAGCATTAAAAAAATGGGGGCGGGTCTCCGGTGATGTTGACTTCAGAGACATCAAGTGGATGTATTAAGAGTTTATTCAGGATCATGACATGCCAAAGGAGAAGTTTATGGACAGTATGTTATAGTTATAATGCTAATAAAATTATTTATGTAACTAGTTGATAATTTATTTAGAAACATGATCCAAATTATTTTATTTTTTAGTTTACATAACTACGTACCTCATAGAAATTTAACATTTGTTAGTGAACATTTATAAATATTAGTGCACTTGACATTTTTTGACATGCTTTTCAGTCTGAAAAGTCCCATCAATGATCATCGCCTCAAACTTACGAGGACATGGAGGGAGGCTGTTCTCCAGTTTTGTCTTCTCACATGTTTGCAATTTTGCAAGTCCTGAAGTAATGGAACCAATTTTGAATGTTGATAGATCTTCATCAGTTTTCTAATTCAGGTTTCCCTTAGCATGGTCCTTATAATTATAGGTGTACTTTGTTACTATTTAAACTTGAGACTGAATATAAAGAAAAAAGGGAATTATATATACAATGTAATACTAAAATATTTGAGAGTAAATTGTGTATTAGAGAAGAATTTCTCGTACTCTGCTCTGATGGTCTCATGGGGTTGTTTTATTTTTTGTACATTTTCAAATTTTGAAACTGGTTATTACAATAAAATGCCCACAATATATTAAGTAGTCTGGCACACAGGCCTATTTTTGCAGAATATCAGATGGGTAAATTATAAGAAAGATAATTCAGAAGTAATTCAATGCAGTCCTAGAATTTTGCTTACTTTAATAATCAAAGGAAAATTATGTACTATGTATCGTACAAATGAACATGATTGGCAAAATATTTTTGTTATCGGAAAATGTGCTTCTATTACCTATAAATTTTAAAGGGCCTGATTTGATGCTTTTGGTCACATATCATGCAGTCTTACATTTATCACTCATTTTCCCAGGTTCCTGTATTATTCCACAATCATGAATTTGAGGGTACATTTTAAATAGAGTGACACCCAACTTTTCCGACATCCAATGTTATGAGACTTGACCTGTATATCAAGTTATACAGAATGTTGGCTAACTAATGAGCTAAACTGAAATGTTCTAAATGGAAAAATGATTTTGAAGGAAACATTGATCGTAAAATATATTTTGTATTATGAAGATCCCAGACAGTTTAGTGAGGAGTATTCTTATTATTCTGTAGTCAAGCTTATTTCAGCAGTCCTCATTATAAGCATACAGTTGGGTTGGTATTCTGAAATCAATCTTACACTCCCTTCTGAAGACCAGTCCCCATAAGTTCATTTAAATTCCAAGTGAAAAATACTTTTGTTCTGTATTTCCATTGTTTATAACAGATGTGTTATTGTTTACAGTATGATATTATAAACATTTGTTGATAAAATCTTCCTGCTACGATGACATTGAAATGTTAGCTTTCTTCCAAATTGTTACATTTCACCATATACACACAATGGTATTACCATAATGTTATGATTTACCATATAAATCTGTTGAAATCATTCAAGGAAATAAACTTGTGACACAACAAAGTCTTGTTTAACTTTTGATTTCAAAGAGAAAGGTGCAATTACTGCCCGACCACCAATAACATCAACTTTAGTTAAATATTTTTGGCTTTTTAGGTTGAGGTAGTTGATATTTGCAAAAACAGAATAGTTGATGAAAATGCTGCTGATGGCTAAAAGGTTCGTAAGTCAGTTGCTTTCTGGCAAAAGTGAAAAGTGGGGAAATGAAATACTTGATGTTTATATACCGTACCACAGGCCTTGTGTTAGGGGGGGTGGGGGTGGGTATCTGGTATAAATCTATGAAGATTTTCTTTTTGTTAGCAGATTTAGAAAGAAAATGGATATTTTTTAACCAAAGACAAATGAAAAGTTAACATTATGTGTCCTCATTCAAGAGGGCTTTCACTTGACATGTTTACTTTCATCCTCGTACACACTCCTTTCATTCCTAGTTAGAGTTATCTCCCTTGGGGCCATAAAAACTCAATCTCCAAGTCTGATATAAACATAAAATTTACAAAAACAAACACTTCGCCATGTCATTGTCCAGTGGTTGGGGAAGCCCTACCAAACCGGACACTGTCAAAACAAGAGACGTTTTTAGTGTTGTTAACATATCAATTAAATAAATGCTTGCATTATCAACATTTTTTTTCATGGTAGAATATTTAACTTTTCTTTATATAAATATTACAATTCTATATTTACCAACATATTTCATGTGTGTAAGAGATTGAGAAGTTTCTCCATCAATAGTATTCATTCATTCATTCATTGATTCATTGATTGACTGATTGATTGATTCATTCATTTTCTTCCATTCCTTCATTCATCATTAATTCATTCATTTATTCAGTTGTTTTTTTGACTGATTTGAAAACTGAAAATAAATTTAGTGATATTACAATTAATGCATAAAACAGTAGTTAGCAAATTAACGGCTGACACAGATATCAAGAAAAATGTCTGTAAACAGAACTCTTCCTACTAAGTTGACAATTTAAAAGGAAGTAAGTTGTGACATGTAAATATCTTTATCCTTCAGAGAAATTGATTTTGTATAATTTTTTACATTATCAAGTAATAATTCTTTAAATATTATATATGCAGACTCTGTATTTATGTTTTTGTGTTGATATTTCAAAATGTTTCTTATCTTCCATATTGTGTATTTCATACAAGTAGTTATTGTCATAATAATGTGTTTGTGTTTATCTTAAAAATTACAACGAAGAAATTTATCTTCAGTCCTAATGACATCTAGAAGTTCATTTTTCCATGGAAAGTTGTCTGACATTCTGTATTCAATTTTCAAAATGAACTGCTGTACATAATCGCAGTGGTAAAATAAGTGTTCAATGGATTCAATATTCCTACAGAAATGACATTTCCCATCAGATCTGTTAATGACTTGCAATTTTACTTCTGTATAGATTATTCTATGTAAGAAGTTCCATTCAAAGTTTTTTCAACTTTTGGCATATTGGTATAAATTTAGATTTTTCCCAAATTTGTCCCCAGTCTTTTACTCCAACTCCTTTGTTTTACCCATTTGATTTCTGCTAAGGGTTTACAGTCTGGGATCAGAATCTTTTGTATAAATTTTTCTTTAAGTAAATTGTACGATACCATTTCTTTTCTATTCTTGGTATTATTCTTAATGACTAAAAGCAAGTTGTTATCTATATATAACTCTTTTTCTTTATATACATTATCCTTTAATATTTGTATAAGTGGAATAGATAATTTGACACAGGAAAATTCAGCTATCCAATTTTTTTTTCTTCTCAATTTCTCAAGAAGGGATGTATTATCAATAAAACTTACTAAAGACACTCCAACTCTCTAGGTTGGAGGGTATAAGTCTGTAAAAAGTCTTTATATATTTACTTAAGATGAATATCTCTAAATCAACCATATTCCTACCTCCATTTTGTTTATTGTGACCTTATTATATAACTTTACCTTTAAATGTCAGGTTTCTTGTTTTCCATATATGGATACGATTTTTTATTTTTTGAATTTTTTCTCTCCATATTCAATATTATATTAATTAATTTTAGTATTCCCCTACTTTGTGATTTTGATAGTAGACTGTTTTCAAACACATATTTGATTATGTTAATAAATTCTATTTGAATAATGCCCCAATATCTTTTATAGAATTCTGCAATTATTCCATCTTTGCCAGGTGATTTATTGTCTTTAAGGAACGCATTGTATTGTATATTTCTTCATTTTCTATATTTCTGTCTATTTTTATCTTTTTCTTTTTTTGTTTATTCAGCTTTTTCTTTGTCCCAACCCTCAGTTTGAAATAGGTTTTCATAAAATATGACTTGTTTTTTTTGATATATTTTGTATCAAAATGGCATAAATGGCAACTGTGAGTAGATTTCGGACACTTGTTGAAAAAGTTCCATAATAAGACTTACATGTATCGTTCGGGCCTGATGTAAGATCATATGTCTTGAGGAAAGCATACTGAAAGCGTCTGGCGAAGATCGCACGAATATTAACGTTAAAACATACACTTCCACAGGAAAATATTCGCAAGCCAATGAAAGCGATCTACTCCATTCAAGGGACATAACTCCTAAAAAGGAGGACATTTTAATGCATATTAGCAGAAATAAATAATACAACAAAGTATTGTCATACTTTAAGTTTATTTTGCTTTGTCATGTACACATCTACACATACATCCTTTCATACTTGTTTACAATGTACAATCACATTATTATCAACACAGGTGTCAGACAAGCATTTATTAGGCTATAGATATAATTAGATCCGTGACATTCTGGCTTGCAGAACTCAATATTCTGAGAAACAAGTATAATATTATATCCCAGGCTTTGATTTATATGGTGGATATATTCAGATAACTATACAAATAACCATCTGAAATTGTAAAGATTTTGTAAACATCAGGGTGATTTTTTATATCAATAACATCTATATTCAACATAAGGAATATAACCCTGTATATGGAGAAACATTGCTACAGGGATATCATGTAACCCTTCAAATAACATTTGCCTTTGCCAAGTGCAAAGTCACCTCTAAAGCACAAAAAGATAAGTTTCAATTTGCACTTCAAACTTATGCTGCTGTTTTGTTTTTTTTTTTTAATTTTTTGCTGTAAAAGGGCAAAAGTAAAACTGTAGCAATACTTCCCCTATATACAGTAAATGTAAGCAATGTGCCTTATTTTAACATACAATATTTATCTAAATTTATAATCACCATCTCCAGAATCAAAGAACAATATATCAAATTGCTGGACTGTTGAAGTGAAATCCAACCATAAATGGTATGAAAAAACATGAACTCTGATGGTTTTCCTGTGTGTTGCCTTGTCTACATGGTCCTGCAAGAATGACATGAATCTGTCGGTTATCCTGTGTTAAATAGCCTTGTCTATGAGGGTCTGTAGGGATACAGGAATCCATTGATTGTTTTCCTGTATAAATATCACACTTCTGTCCATATACATCATTAGCTTGCCATAACGGTACACTTGCTTCGCCTCCTGTGTACGACCAGGCACAGGCATGAAAAGGATGTTATTTTCCTCTGCCTGTGGGGAAAAAAATAATATAAAAATCACAAATGTGAATAGATTTAAAAACCTGATTCCAATTGACTATATTGTAACTTTGTAAAAACAAAAATAAAATTTGATATTTACCATGACTTTGGATCAACTACTGCAATTTTTTAAATTTTTTTCCTCTAAAAATGTAATTGTACAAAAACATAAAATGGTTTGGGGGAGTCTTAACAGAAATACCAGATGATAAAACTAGAATGAACTGTCTTGGCAATTAAACTGTCGTTAACATTAGGTTTAGAGTGTAAACTGACATGGGATTGTCTCCCTTACCCCATTTCTGATTCATTAGGATACATGGTGGAACATAAACAGTAAACATTTGTTTGACAAAGGTCTGAGATCAGTTGTGTGACCACAAACAGTAAACATTTGTTTGACAAAGGTCTGAGATCAGTTGTTTGACCACAAACAGTAAACATTTGTTTGACAAAGGTCTGAGATCAGTTGTTTGACTATAGGCAGTAAACACTGGACAAAAATAAATGTTTGACTGACAAAGGAAGATTACCTTTTTCTCCACAAGCTCTTTAAAGCTGGCAGGGTAGGAAGCTGTGGAGCTTCGGACAGCTGGATACTGAAATAGATAACATGAACTCACATCTTTCCTGCAATTGAAACCCTTATCATGAATTTCATTCAGTATTTCTAATCAAATTTTCTTTAACTGAATGTGACTTCAATTTTATTACTTTATCAAGTTCTAAATCCATGGCAAGTATTTCTACTGTAGATTTGTGATGTTTCAATATTTTGTATATGTCGTCAATTCAATAATAAAATATGTTCAAATATCATTCCCCAAAGTAACAGCAAGGAAATCTATTAAGGACATTTATAAGGTATGCCTACAAATCAGTAGTTAGATTTATAAAGTTGAGCATATGCATAAGGAATAATAGAAGCTTTCATCATAATACAGTGAAAAAGAATGATCTATATAATACTCTGGGGAAAGATATCAAGTAAGCAAACACAACATTTGATATACTGATCTAGGGATACCAAGATCGGAGTAGTAATATTTCCATCCTGTGGTATACGTAGTGCTAGAGGACCAGGGGGTAGTCATACTTACATCCTGTGGTATAGGTGGTGCTGGAGGACCAGGGAATAGTCATACTTACATCCTGTGGTATAGGTGGTGCTGGAGGACCAGGGGGTAGTCATACTTACATCCTGTGGTATAGGTGGTGCTGGAGGACCAGGGGGTAGTCATACTTACATCCTGTGGTATAGGTGGTGCTGGAGGACCAGGGAGTAGTCATACTTACATCCTGTGGTATAGGTGGTGCTGGAGGACCAGGGGGTAGTCATACTTACATCCTGTGGTATAGGTGGTGCTGGAGGACCAGGGGGTAGTCATACTTACATCCTGTGGTATAGGTGGTGCTGGAGGACCAGGGGTAGTCATACTTACATCCTGTGGTATAGGTGGTGCTGGAGGACCAGGGGGTAGGGGAGGAGGAGGAATCAAAGTGTCTGCCATATGTCTTCTCTCTGTGTGGGCAAAGTAAGCCATGTTTTCTTTTGCTCCAGGCTGGAAGTGACCAGAGACTGCCCGGTTCATAATGTCTAGAGCTTTGTTAAAGTGATCTGTTAATAGAAGATATGAAAAAGAATGAAATTTCAAACAAAAATTGTTGTCAAGACTTGAACAGTTTTACAAACGTTTCTGATAAATCTACACTTAGAATTTCATCTTTTCCCTATCACAATTTTGCGAAATAAGCAAAATGTTTTTGCAAAAACTTTAAACTCTTGGACCTGTCTTGTTTACATGTTTTTATAGCAATTGCGACATGACTAGCAATTAAATACCATTTCATAGGCCTTACTTTCTACAAAACACACTGAAATACTTCCTTATTTACAGCTGTTGCAATAAGAACAACATTACACCAGTGTTAGATTTATTAGTTAATCTAGAGGCTATGATTATCTGCCAGGCGCTAGGATGGCTGTGAAGATCTACTGTAAACATCTAATTCAGCACAATCAGTTGTACAGTATTAGCATTTTCTGGCAAATAAGTGAAATGATGAAATAGCACATCTACAATGATTGGTATATAATAACAATCTGAAATTGCAATTAACGCAAATATTTTAATGCAATATGTTAAGTGTGAAAAACACTAAGATAAGATTACATGAAAATATGTACATTTACAGTATAATGTGGTTTACAGTTGTACCTTTGACAACAGGTATAGACATGTACTGGTCTGGGAACAGTGACTTCCAACCAAGATACCATTTGGTGATCTCCTCATAATTAGGCATGTTGCCCAGCCAACCACACAGCACCTGCAACCACTTGGGAAAGAAGGTCTTGTCCAGCATGGCTACCATGTGTTTCGGTGGAATTAGGTCTCGCCAGGCTATCACCCAGTGCCATGGGTCTGAAAATCAACATAGAATTCATATAATATTAAATGTGGAATATATTTACCAGGAATCTTAAAACACATCAAATTTATTCCAATACAAAATTAACATTTTCAGAAAATCAATATCTTCATTTGAAAAATTCAAAGCTGTACATTTACTTGGGCAGAAATTCACTTCAATTTTATATTTGAATTTAAACTTTTATACAAAACACACCCTTCAAAAGTAACAAGTTTCTTCCTATTATTTTTTTTGAAGTGCAAAAAACATCCCCAAAAACCCCAAAATGCATAAAAACTTTTGAAAAAATGATTGTGTTTAATAACTATTGACTTACCCAGAACCTGCTGGTGTGGATTGATGACAAACTCAGTCATACACATGGCCAGTTTTGGGAGGATATTTTTGACAAGAAATGCCTCAGTGTGTCCTGGCTTAAACACTTTCATCCATGGCTGCAGAATGACCTTTGCTGATGAATCAGATGGGTGCCAGTTAATGAGAGCATTTGCAAGCTTGTGTCGGATTGGTGCATACAGTGGCTCAAGTTTTTCACCCATGAGTGGCAGCCAGGGATGCAGCCATGCATGAATCGGCATTGTGTCCGTCAACGGGTTCCAATTCTCCACTTCCTGTAGTAACCGTGGTAACACAAGCTGGTTGAGAATGTTCTCCATTACCCATCCCGGAAGCACTGGCATCCATGTCTCCAAGAGTTCAATCAGATTGTCACAGTTCCTTACATTCCATGTCCTGTGAGTAACGCATACAATGTTCTAGATTTCTTCAGCTTAGAATTTTGTTTACTTTACAAGAATTAAGAAAATCTTAATATTACGTTAATCACTCTTGTTTGGAAGAGCACAAGGGGCCTTACTGTGGGAGGAAATCCTAAAACTTGGGCAAAATCCCTATGGTTGGTTGGGGATCCCATACAATTTCATGTCTGACCAGGTCATTGAATCCTAGTTGTCAAGATGAAAGGCTAGGGAGATTTGACTTTGCAATCTTACCCTACCATATATTAATTTTCTACATGATGTAATAGTATGTACACATATACAAAATTTGGTGAGTGTAGGTGATTCTGTATGTTCTAGTTGCCCTGGTTGCTTCAAGCTAAGTTAAAGTTACCAGTGGTTTGGAACATGCTTTATCATTTGACAAGGTAAGATTGATATTTTCTGAGAGTTAATGATGCTTTGAAAGTCCTAGTTATATTCAGTGGGACCCAATCACTGGTTAACTCTTATCAGAGTTTGAGCAACTGGGGCGAGATTTCAACTGTCGTCAATTGATTTTATCTTAAAACCTTTCTAAATCTAAAATAGAACCTGATGTATTAACACCAAGCAGAGATCAGAACTGAGCTGGATTGTTTTGTAAAAACAGTTTGAATGAGCCAGCTTTGTTTGCTTGGAATAAGCAAGCTCACCACCTATTGCTCTTTTTCAAACTTTCTTCATAATACCAGGTCAGTCCTCACAAAATGTCAGGAAATATTAAGATACAAATGAACATTTTATTTATAGGCAAATACTGCACCAGACACATCTTTGGATAGTCTGTTGTTTCTTTAACTTAAAACTTTAAGCAGAATAGATGTTAAAGCATTATTAAAGGGAATCACAGAACAAACTACAGCATAAGACTTATTTTCATTGCATGCAATTTTTACGATATAGTTCATTCTATGGGACAGTTAAAAATAGAGCCATTTTACAGCCCTTACACTAGTCTCTTGCCAGCTGAACCACTCAAACTATGTTAATAGATAGCCACCGTAGTTATATCTTTGTTACTAGGCATTAGTATTGAAGTACTTACAACACTGTAGTCCTGACAAATGGCAGCCATACATCCCACAGAAGTCTCTGATACACATCCATGTCCTGTCCCCCTGTTACAGGCCCTGCAGCCAATGTATTTGTGTAGTCCTCTAGAAGGGCCTTCCACTCCCTAACAGTCTCTAAGCCATGAGCCGGATTCTTCAATGGATCCCAGTTTGTAAAATGCTGCTTCATCTATAGAAATGAAAATTGGATACTTCATCCTTTGTACACGAATCCTAATTACATTAAAATACATTTCTTTTTTTTATTCTTTTTCTATTTTCTGAACATTCTTTATTATAAATAAATCATTTAAGTTGATATCTTTTATTAAAGTGTAGTAGGTAATATTCACAATATATTCAGTAAGTGTTGTGGAATATTCAGACCAACATTGCCATACTTCATGAAAATCCAGATAATCCTTGTCATTGAAGTTAACTCCATTTTTAAAATCAAATTAAATAAACCGTTCCCATATTGTTGAATAAATGTCTTCTCAAAACTTTTTTCATCTAAATTTCGAACCCTCTCTAATATACCAGCACATCAAATTGAATTGCATTTTAATACATAGGTTTCAACACAAGAGATTTTTTTGACTGACCTATTACACTTACCATGGGAAAGACAAGAGCAATGGCTAAAGATGACAAGTCATACATTTTGTACTCTTCGTAAAAATTTTCTTGAAGTGATTTAAAGATGGCTGCACACTCAGACAATGACATAGGATTATCACAGCCAGGTTGGGTTCTCAACTGACATCTGTAATGGTTAACCAAAGTCTACATTTGTAATCCATACACACATACAATCAAGTCTCAATTTATTCCCAAAATCTAAACTAGAACATGATAGTGGTGTATTCAAATTTGAATTTTATAAATTGTGAAATGTAATATTTTGCATTGTTTTTGAATATTGTAATTCTTTTGGATCCCTTAATTCCAATACAGACAAAAACTATGGCTGGTGGAAAGTCTGACAGAACAGTTGCTCCTATTTGGTATCAGATTTATTTTTGCATTGATATGTAAGGAGAGTTAATCTCCCAATTCAAATCCCTCGCTATTACTTGTAAAATAACTCTGGCTGGCATCCATGTGGATACAGTAACCATTATTGGAATCTTGAGGAGCCCATCATTCACGAATTTTAAGTCATTTCTAGATCAGCAATTGCAAAATCATGTATCCACAAATATGTTTGAAGTTCCCAAAATAAAGTACATCTGTATTTGCTAAACTTAGTGATTTACAGTATGGTAATCAGAAAATATATTTACCAATATTTCCATATTTTACTCAAAAATAGGATAAATTTATCTACACAGATAATATGTAATACTGGCAATTAACAAGATTTATCATTCATTGACACATGAGAAATTGCACTAAGCTTTTCAGGTAAAAACCTGCTTTCCTGAAACATGAGTTTCTGATTTTTTTTCGTAACAATGTAAATCTACTTTATAGTGACTTACGTGTCAACAATTTCCAGCACTTTCCTTAGTTTCTCCATCTGTCTTTCCTCCTGACCACAGATTTCATCCAGTCGTTCTTTCTCATACCTCATGTTCACTATATGATCCTTCAGGTATCGTAGTCTAGACAAACAAAAAGTACCAAAATTATTGAAAGGATAAACATGTTGATAATAAATATATTTTGAACTTTAAAAACAAGATATAATCCACCATATACAAAACAATCAAATACTTTGATAGAAGTTGACTATCAACAGCCAAATTTTAAAAACATTTTCCATCAAATCAGTGAAACCTGTGCACTACTGAAACAATTTAAAGTTCCAAATCACAAGACTGCTACCTGCATTATTATTTGATAGTGAACCCAGTCCAGGTAATGACATCTTTCTTCCTAACCTCACACGATCCTTTTAAGCTACATACGACACAGGTGAAGGTACACATACAATATGATGACACCAAAGTTTTGTAGTGACATATATGATTCATCCTATAAATTTTACAGCTCACTTTTACCTCAGACCTAGCCTAAATAACACCATATACCAGATGATTGTACAAAGCATGTATGTTCAGTAAGGAAACCTAAGTTACATAGCATGCCCCATTACTACAGGAGTCAGATGTTCACACAATCTGATCCCTGTGCATTGCTCTTGGGGGATTATTGTGCACACACCAAACCCAGTGCCAAAGGTACATGGACACTGGAGGTATGTTAAACAGACAGACAAGCTATGAAAATATCAGTTTTAAATCCTAAATCAATCAAAAGTATCTGAAAAAATGTAGTTTCATTTTGTAATAGGCAACTCACAATAGAATCAATTTCTAATACTGTTTCCTGTCTTTTGATTGCTTAATAAATATGCGCCAATCTTGATCATTTCCTAACCCGAATTATGTTTCAGTTATTGCCTGATGAGTGCAAGATTAGCCTGTGTACACCAATATGGATCACGCAATGGTAGAGATACATGAATTTTTTGTATCAGATTTGAATAAATAACGGATTTAACCTTTTTTACTTTTCAAATGTTATCATTGAAGACTTTTTTAATGTACCCTCAGCTTACATCCCTGATGTACTGTTCCTGTGACAGGTAAAAGTAAACATTCATGGCGCATCATCAGGATTTAGAGGAATGCATGAATACCCTATATATACACCAGCTCTTTCCATCTTTCTGTGTGTGGCATGAATATGAAATTAATGATTCATTCACCAGGTGTCAAAACCCATAATACATAAATGAACGACAATAAACACTCTAGTGGGCAGTCTGAACTTGCAATTAATACAGACTTTAGCTAGCTTTAGCTTGTTTCCCATCCCCCAATAGGCCAAGGCTATCTGTGGTTTATTGAACAATGGTTATTAAAATACTCCTTATATAAAACCAATAATGTATAATATCATGTGATGAGGAACCAAAGATATTTATGTGTTACATTGTATATATAAATCTCTGATAAAAGTCATAAAACAATTGTGGGGTGACTATCTTCTTTAACAGATTTTATTCCCTATTAAATCAACATATAATAACTACTAACAACAAGACCACCCTGCTAAAATGTGATATGTATATAGCCTGCTAAAATGTGATATGGTATATAGCCTGCTAAAATGTGATATGTATATAGCCTGCTAAAATGTGATATGTATATACCCTGCTAAAATGTGATATGTATATAGCCTGCTAAAATGTGATATGTATATACCCTGCTAAAATGTGATATGTATATAGCCTGCTAAAATGTGATATGTATATACCCTGCTAAAATGTGATATGTATATAGCCTGCTAAAATGTGATATGTATATAGCCTGCTAAAATGTGATATGTATATACCCTGCTAAAATGTAATATGTATATACCCTGCTAAAATGTGATATGTATATACACAATATACACATGAATGTTGGTGATCAAGGAAAATTATCTCTCCATAACTCAATCAATATTACAAACATCAACATGAAGTTCTGTATAAGTCTGTATCATATTATCTTTTGATATTGCTACCTTCTTTCAGTATTTTTGACAATCAAGTGTGAAGATATTTCACAATTTCCCATGCTACAGGTATTTGCACAAAACATAAACATATTTGCTTAGCTAGAGTAAAATTGTCATAATGTGGGTCATTTTTGCATATGTGAAATTGAAATTGTGTATATATATCAATGTATTATACTCATATTAAGTACAAACCATTTCATGCAAGTACAGTCAAACCTCGTTAACTCGAAGTCGATGGGACCACGAAAATACTTCGAGTTATTTGAGTCTTTGAGATAGCCGAGTTCATGAGTTTTGGTGCAAAGATTTTTAATGTTCCTGACGTTCCTCTTCACGCCGGTCTTCGCCCTATCAATCGATCCAAGTATCCCCCCGGATAAACCGGGTCCTTCGTTGGATTGCTCAATTGACTTCGACATTTCGAAACGGGTATGATTTCGGTGAGAAACACCCCTGCTTTTATCCCTATGTGACACTCATGACATCTCCTCACTAATTCTGCCCTAAGTACTTCGACGCTAATTAAATAATTGTTTCACTCATTTGTCGGTTTAATTGAGCACAGGTGACCGTTTCATGCGTACTCCTGTAAAAACATTAAGCCTAGTACCGGGCCAGTGTTGTGATTGTTTTCTATAGCTTAGTTCCGCTTCACTGAGTGTATACACAGGTCGGTGTTTGTTATGGCTGACAGACACGGAAATTACGCAATGTGAGTAGAACTTCACTTTTTATCGCCGATATCTATCAATTATAAGATCTAACGGTTACCTTTTATCATTCAATTAAATAACAATAAACACTTTTCTAAAACATGAATATTGTTAATTACAGTATTGTTCATTAATATTCACTTGTAAAGCCTATTGTCGGTAAAATTGCAAAACGGCGTAGCGCATCAGCAATGTAATTGACCGGCACAAAATTTATACTTCGAGTTTTCCGATCATATTCAGTATATGTTTTGTTGTTGGGACCAAATTTTTACTTCGAATTAACAGAGTTTTTCGAGTTTTCCGAATTCGAGTTTTCCGAGTTTTGATTACTAGAATAAAGAGAAGATTTTGCCAGGACCGACAAAGTGCTTCGAGTTAAATGGGGTCTTCGAGTTTTCCAAGTTCGAGTTAACGAAGTTCGACTGTAACTGTATTTAATATTAAAAGGTACCCGGTATTTAGTTTGAAGAAAATGCCCTATAATGTGATACATGTAATGTTATGTATGTAATTTGCATGCAAAGTAACACTTTCTGTCCAAACACTTCAATGTGACACCTGTTACTTACTTGCGATCGTTTTGCATGATATCTTCTTCAGCCATGTCTACTAGAAGATTCAGATTATGTGTCAGTTCTGGAAGGTCAAATGCTCGTCTCTGATTGGTCTGGTTTTGTACAGGCTCCTCCTCAGCTTCAGGTTTGTCATGGCGATGGGCAATGGCATGGTAGCCTAAAGATATAGGATAACACAATTCTTTGCTGAAATCTGGTTTTGAAATTTTGTTTGAAATTTTGTTTCCTATCCAAGTAAGTTTCAATCACAACACAGCACACATCAGCAGTGAGTGGGTTCTCTATTCTGGTATCTTATTTCATCACTCTGCATACCTTTCAGTATCCTCATCCAACGTGCAGTGCCCTACTTATTAACCAACTCACATGGAAATGACATTGGCTCTACCCGTTTGCTTAAAACATTTTACATATTTAACTGTCAGCATCATAAACATCAAAAACAGTTTTGTATCACACATGTGCCAAACATTAAGCATTTTGCAAGACTGTGGAAGTGTTTGAAAAAACTGTACTTTTTTAATACAAAACAACTACTGCTGTTAAAAGTGCTTGTCTTCCTGTCATACATGCGTATCCATTCGAAAACTTCTTTTTACCCAAATTACTACCAATATCATCACATAAATCCCTCCTCCATTTGTCAACAGTAACTACCCCCCAACCCCCAATGTTTAACACTGTGAATTATCTAAGATTCAAGACATTCTCAACAAATCATCCAATCAGCATAATCAGCATAATCAGCACAATCAGCACAATCAGCATAATCATCATAATCAGCACAATCAGCACAATCATCATAATCAGCATAATCAGCACAATCAGCACAATCAGCACAATCATCATAATCAGCACAATCAGCACAATCAGCATAATCAGCACAATCAGCACAATCAGCATAATCATCATAATCAGCACAATCAGCACAATCATCATAATCAGCATAATCAGCACAATCAGCACAATCAGCACAATCATCATAATCAGCATAATCAGCACAATCACCACAATCAACATAATCAGCATAATCAGCACAATCAGCACAATCACCACAATCAACATAATCAGCATAATCAGCACAATCAGCATAATCAGCACAATCAGCACAATCATCATAATCAGCATAATCAGCACAATCAGCACAATCAGCACAATCATCATAATCAGCACAATCAGCACAATCACCACAATCAGCATAATCAGCATAATCAGCACAATCAGCATAATCAGCACAATCAGCATAATCAGTACAATCAGCACAATCAGCATAATCAGCACAATCAGCATAATCAGCATAATCAGCATAATCAGCACAATCAGCACAATCAGCACAATCAGCACAATCAGCACAATCAGCATAATCAGCACAATCAGCACAATCAGCACAATCAGCATAATCAGCATAATCAGCACAATCAGCACAATCAGCACAATCATCATAATCAGCACAATCAGCACAATCAGCACAATCAGCATAATCAGCATAATCAGCACAATCAGCATAATCAGCACAATCATCATAATCAGCACAATCAGCATAATCAGCACAATCAGCACAATCAGCACAATCAGCATAATCAGCATAATCAGCACAATCAGCACAATCAGCATAATCAGCATAATCAGCATCAGCATAATCAGCACAATCAGCACAATCAGCATAATCAGCATAATCAGCACAATCAGCACAATCAGCACAATCAGCATAATCAGCACAATCAGCACAATCAGCACAATCAGCACAATCAGCATAATCAGCACAATCAGCACAATCATCATAATCAGCACAATCAGCACAATCAGCACAATCAGCACAATCACCACAATCAACATAATCAACATAATCAGCACAATCAGCACAATCAGCATAATCAGCACAATCAGCACAATCATCATAATCAGCACAATCAGCACAATCAGCACAATCAGCATAATCAGCACAATCACCACAATCAACATAATCAGCACAATCAGCACAATCAGCACAATCAGCACAATCATTAACATACTGTAAAATCAGAAACTTTCTTTTTGCTTTTTTTTTTCACTTCCACTGAAATGAAGTGTCCACATGCTCTCCAACAAATCCTTATAATCATTACCTGAAAGAACTCTTTGCTCCTTGCCAGTCATGTCAATGACCTTGACCTTGGAAGATTTTGATAACTGTGGGCGTTTCTTTGTTGACCCAGTGTCAATAAGCTCCTGTGCTGTTTTGTAGACATATTTGGGTTTCTTTTTGCTGCCCTGAAAATCAGATGTTGAAATGAAATAATTCACCTCATTGGTACAATGTATAATGGAATTATGTTCAAAATTACAATATACTTTTCTCAGAATTAGAAGACATTTGTCATCAAAATTTTTTGTGTCTTTGATATCTTCAGTAAAACCTATTTTCTTTTCTCAGTTAACACATCAATGACTCGACGTGTCTGATCAATTTAATATACCAGTATTTACGTCCAATTTACAAAACATATGCTGTGAGCAGATATAATACAGTACATTCAAGTGAGAAAAAAATACCACCTTCTCTACATCTAAGACATGTTATTTGTTTGTAAACTTTAGTCCAAACAAGCTTGAATACTGGAACATGCAACACCAACAGTTGAATTAAGGAAATCATATTTTGTGTTAGACATATTGATATCATAGACAGGTGGTCTGTTATACATGTGGTAATCTCTAGAACAAATGTTAGTGATGAATTCAATTTTTCCTGAACAATGCTGGAAAAATCAAACATGTCATTGAGTAGAACCAAATGGGTAAACTTTGCACCTCTGGTTTTTTCTTCCACTGCTGCAGCTGAGATTGAAACTCCTTATCTTCCTCCTCCTCGGAATCATACACTGGGTAGTCCTGCAATGACCTTTCTGACCTCTCTGTTCCATAGGCTCCAACAGCTGCCCTGCCTTTCCGCTTGACTGCTTCTACAGGTGTGGTGATACCTTGGTGAGTCTTGCCCAAACCCTCCCCTGGTCTATATCCCATCTACAAAGTCAAAGGTAACAGGTCATAATGTCTTTACCTCAGCTAAAATTCATGCTAACACAACAAATGTCTGTATTGCTAACTTTATCATCATTATTGCTAACTTAATCACTGCTACTGTTAACTATATTACCACTAGAATTAATCATATTAACATTGCCACTAACTAAATCACTGCTATTGTAACTACATCACTGCAATTGCTAACTAAATCACTGCTATTGTAACTACATCACTGCAATTGCTAACTACATCACTGCTATTGCTAACTACATCACTGCTATTGCTTACTACATCGCTGCTATTGTAACTACATCGCTGCTATTTCTAACTACATCGCTGCTATTGCTAACTACATCCCTGCTATTGCTAACTACATCACTGCTATTGTAACTACATCGCTGCTATTGCTAACTACATCGCTGCGATTGCTAACTACATCACTGCTATTGCTAACTACATCACTGCTATTGTAACTACATCACTGCAATTGCTAACTACATCACTGCTATTGCTAACTACATAGCTGCTATTGCTAACTACATTAATAAGACTCATATTTAGAAACTGAAAACTTTGTTACTGGTATTCAATATATTAATAGCTTTACTTCATTTGTCATTGTTTGTTTTGTCAAATTTCTTTTCGTTTTAAATGCAAATAAAATGGGAGTGGAGGGGCAGGGCGGAATTCCCTGCCTCTTTGCTGCCTTGGTGTAATTTTTATTTACTTTGTTGTAGGAATAAAAGTTAAGAAACATAAGTTGCCTACCAATTCTTTACATAGAATAACAATACTGTAATTAAACCATGTGGATAATTAAAACATAGATCCTGAATCTTTGTAGATATTAAACACCCTGAAGACGTTTATAATGAAAAAGGCACTACAAAAACCTGATATTTCTGATCACTCCAACCTTTACCATCTCAGTGAGTGTGATGGTGTACAGATCAACTGACCAATCAATTTTTACCAGTATTTACAATGATAGCATTCATTTTATCAACAACAATACTACAAAACACCATCTATAGGTCAGAACTATAGTTACCTTTTCAAGAAGTTTTTGGCCAATACCTTTAGTGTGTTTTTCCCAACTTCCAAATGCCCTGCAAAAAAGTAAAAGAACCAGACATAGGGAAAATCTTCTATATCATTGGAAAATTATCCATCACAAATTGTGTTTTGATTCTTTGACTGTTGACCATTTTCTTTTCTAATTTGGTGATGAGGAAGGAAACATTTATTGTTAAAGCACTTGTTACTAGGTAATTATCAAATTGCTATTTTACAATACAATGAATGTTCAGACTACATAAACAAAGATGATTAGAACACAAGTATTTAACAAGAAAGCCTAGTAAAAAAAGCATAGCATTATGAACATGACTTATCCAGAGAAGTCATGTATAATATTTGGCCAAATCTGGAAAATTTTATACCCCGTAAATTTACAGAAAGTTCCATTTGTAAGCACTTAATGTAGTCACTGAATGAAGTTTAGTTTAAATGAGCATGAAACTTCGCTATCTTTTTACTAATAGATTTTCTACTTCAACCAATTGGAACTTTGACTAAAAGCCTTCTCTTTCTGTAAAAGTAAATTATCCTTTTAATTCTTTGCTTTTCTTGATGTAAGGTGTTGAAGTTTTAATTTGCATGGTTTCAGAAAATTCAGGTTACAATGGAAATGAATTCAGAATTATGAATATCTCAATCTGAAACACTTTCGCCTTCTTTAATGTAGAAAGAAGTGGCAGTACAGTAGCAACCTTTACTACAAAATTCACTTGAAGACTAGAAAATTCTTTAAAGCTAGAGTTAGTCAAAATTCTCTTTCTACTTACTTGTCCTGATTTTTAAGGCCAGCAAACTTTCGCGAACCTCCAGGTGGAGCTGTTTTGTTTTTGAATGCTCCACCAGATGACCGTAAAGGGGGTTGTACAATAGGAATCTCTGAGGACCTTAATGGAGCCTGGACTATCGGTACAGACTGTTCAGGACCGTCAGAATCAGAATTCTGAAAATAAATCAGAACATTTGCATAAGATATGACATCTAGGTATAATGATATGGCAATAGTGATACAAAATATTATTATATAAATGCATTTTACTCTAACATATGTCTCATATTTTGAAAATATTTATAGTATTATCCAATTGGTCATTACTGTTCATTAATATCTGGCAGTATCACAAAGTAATATTTACTTGTATAAAACTGGAGCTAGGCTTGTGTTTGTAGATTGGGAGATTACCTTATTTCATGACTGTCTGATTATTTTAAATAATCATAATCCATACTTTAAAGCTTCAGATTGTACTCTCTTGTTACATGCCTTCATATTGATAATGCACAAATGTTCCAAATGTTTTGTTTAAAGCAGATCTAGAGGTAGATACACTATGACTGATTTTAAATCTTTGGAAACATTTTAAAAAGTAAATCTTTGCTGACTTTTAGTAGAAAATCTTTGACCTTGACAAAAGAAACTTACCTCATCATCGTCTTCCTCCTCTTTTACTTTCTGCTCCTTCAGTATTTTACTTCCCTGCTTCACTCCCCCACTAACAAAGTTGACAGGTGCTGCGTAGTCTTTCTTCCCTCGAGACCCTCTAGAAAATCCAATGGTAGGCCTATCTTCCTCATCACTGTCCTCGGCCCACATTCCTGAAATATGATGTAAAATTTCAGTGGTAACAGCATATTTCACTTACCATAATTATCCAGCAAGAGACCTATGCCTAGTAATATGGCTATCCTTGTCTTTGTCTGTTAAGTCAAAACACCTATAAATATATTTGTATGTTTTTGTTCTTTAATAAGCCCATTCCCTTCATCAGAGCTCGAGGAATTGTGTTGACCCCTGGACTTACAGTAGTAACTTACCCTGGTAATAATATTTTTAAATGTAAAATGTCAAAATTTTTATCAATTGATTAAGATTTGTCCAGTTCCATTGTCTGAAGAACTAATTAATTACTGGATGACCAATCTGAAAATCATCGATTCTTGTACTTATTTTCTTTTTTGCCTTATCTAATTTTTTAAGTATTTATCCACTTAAAAGAACATATTCTACCAGATTTTTCTTCAGTCTGCATTAACAGTGCATTATCACTTATTTCATATTTAGAATTTTCTTGATCTATAGGAAAAACATACTTTTGCTTTCAAATTTCCACAATATACATGTGCAATGTGTAATAGGAAGGAGTAAAGAAAAACATACACTATTCATTAGGAATTTATTAGGATATATGATGAACGCAGGCTGGGAATAAGCCTCTGTGTCCATATCTGTAAATGAATTTACAATAAATAATATTCTTAATGATAAATACTTCTGGTGTTATTTCAAGTCTTTAAAATAAGATATCAATTTTCTTTCTAGTGTTTATCAAACAAAATTTCGAACTGTTTAACTGTATTAGCATCAACGACATGTTGAGGTAAACTGTTCCATACATTTATAGTTCTTTAACTAAAGAAATGTTTTCTGATGTCTAATCGAGAATGTTTCTTAAACAATTTCTTGGAGTGTCCCCTTGTTGTAGTGGAGGATGCCATCTGGAATTGGTTTTCTGTAACTCTTGTATCATATTTATTGTTTATGACTTTGAAGGTGTTGATCATGTCTCCCCTCATCCTGCAATGTAGGTAGGTAGGTCCAGTCTCGCTAAGCGCTCTTCATACGATTAATGTTTAAAAACCTGGTATTAATTTTGTGGTTCTCCTTTGAACGTTTTCAGTAATATCTATATCTTTGACCAGGTGCGGGTTCCAAACACTAGAGGCATACTCGAGGTGCGGTCTTACCAGAGCTTTGAATAGCAATTTGAACATGGTCTCGTCTAGAAATACAAACGGTCTTCTGATAAGTCCTGCTTTGCTATTCGCCTTGTTGACAATTAATTGAATGTGGCTTCGGAAGTTTAATTGATCATCAGTAGTTACACCAAGATCTTTTTCCTTCGCTATGTTTTCTAATTGCAGGTTTTCTCTTTCGGGTCCAGACATAGAATAATTTCTTCTTTCACTTGGTTTAATTGATAATATTTTATACATTTATTTGGATGGAATTTCAACAGCAATTTTTTAGACCAATTTTGAAGCTTATCCAGATCCCTCTGCAAAATATCAATATCTTCCATGCCACTACCCTCACTTGGGTTTGAATAAGCACTATACTGCTTGACAAGATGGATACTCCCAATGTATTTTTTAACTGCTTCGTTGACATTCTCAAATTTATCATAAATAAATGCCAATCAATATCATATGTATATATTACCATATATGGCCCTATTTTTGGACATTCTATGTCCAGGTCTCTGGTTGAACTCATTGGCAAGGTCATCTTCAGTGACCTCAAATCGCTCGACCTCTGGTGATGACATGGTTGGTCAATATCTTCAAAACGTCACTTTATCCATGTATTCCTTAGCAAGCTGAAACAAAGAGTGAAATTGTCAGTTAAACATGTGGAATTATATTAAGCATATTAGACATCACCTTTTTGTTTTACAAAGAATGGTCCAACTTGTGTGTGGGTTTTTTCTTCTTCTTTACGTAAAATGGACATTGTCTAAAATTGGTAAAAATGGTCAATTTCTCTCATTCTTCATAATCCATAGGTCAGATATACGAAAAATGTCTTCCCCGGTTCGCCAACCAGACTTTACATCCAACAGATAACCATGTACATCGATGTGTAGTAACCAGATTTTGTAAATAAGAAACAGATTGTTGTATAGTCGAATGTGTTAGACTAAGTAAGCCAAATATGTCAGTTTAACCATGTTTTTGAATAATACTTTTAGTTTTGAATAGCCCAACAACACGGAACAGAGTTGATGTATCATACAAACTTAAAACAGTGAATATCTTCATTGAAAGCGAGTAAATAATATTAAAAACGACGACAAAACGTACGCCGAAATCCACTTACCGCCAGCACCGGAAGTCTATAGGAGAAACATAATCACATAAATGTTTTATTTGGGGTGAGGGTAAAGAAAAATGTATTGCGGATTTTCACGGATATATGAACGTTGCATGCGATTATACATTTCAAAGAATAATGTTATCGTCGATAGATAAAATATTTTGGATCTACCTGTCATATCTATGTCTCTTCTGTGGAATCGAAAAAATCTCGAAAGGATGTCATCATGTAATATAAATATTTTTAGTTCAACTTCAACTCGCTAGGCACGGATTACCAACTCACAGTTCACATATATATATGAATATATTACGACATACTAAAACCTTTGTTATTAATATTGCCATTATTTAAGGATTGTGTAGCATATATAGCAGTAACAATAGCAATTTATATAGACCACAATTAAAGACAACGAAATCCATTATGATCATTATTGTTTTTGTTTGTTTTTTTGTTTTTTTTTTCAAATGCAATTCAGTGAAAAATGTCCAGAAATAGACTCTGATTGCTCTCCAATATGTATAAAACAAGCTGAGAATATCATGGGCTCAACGAGCAAATGAGCAAGGGGCGGGGGGGGGGGCAATTTCTAATCTTGTCCATAAAGATTTTTAGCTTTGATATGAATGGTTTCTCTGTACTAAGCGGTTTTCACTCTTGTTGGCTGGGATTGATACCAATCAGGGTTTTTACTGAGGTAGCAAACCGTATTCGTAGTACTGGAAGATTATCCATGTGGCTAACCAGTTGGTCACATATTGTTCACGTCAAAGTAATCGAACTCTGGTCCTACAGGTGAAAGGCCACTGCGACACCAACCACATTTGTGTGTTGATAGTCAGAATCATCACACATAAAACACGAAATGTTAGCGAATCGGAGATGGGTCGGCATTTAGCTGGTATCTTATATCATTCATGATAGTGCAACAAGAAAAAAAATGATGGATTGAACAAATATTTGCTTCTAACCAATGCTTAATGAGAAAAGAACAGACTTTTAAAGACTAAATAAAGATCACACAATGGTGGGTGCCAAGAACACTCTGGAATCTCTTGTTTTGTGTAACCAGAGTATCTCATGGTAGAACCCGTACCAAATAGAAATGAAACCATTATCGATAATCGAAATGCTAAAAACCATAATATCGTGTCATTAAAAGAATGGCTACTAAGTTTCATGGAAAATTGTCACTAAAACTGATGGAGAGTACCTCCATACAAAAATGTAAAGGGCATTAACTCTTTCAAAATCTGTAGAGTCAGAGTGAAAATAGGGAAAATAGTTTTACATGTTTATGATAAAGCAAAACAAAGAGTAGAAGAAAACGGTCGAAAATGAGAGACAAATTGTCTGTACAATAGTAAAAATGCTAAAAGTAGCAAAGGGGAATTACTCTTCCAAAGTTGTTGACTCTTAATACCGTATATTCAGGAAAGCACAAACAATTTCCTGGTGTATTGAAGTAAAGTTTACCAAGTTTCAATGATGTTAATTGAAAACCAAAGGAGATATCCGAACAAAATTGTCACGCTGAAAAAAAACAAAGGAAAATAACAAAAGTTATTGGATCAAAATTATGTTCTTGAAAACAAAATTTCACGTCACAGTTATAAAACCTACAATGTTTGACCAGAAAACGGGGAGGGGGTGTATCTGGACAAGATTTGTATAGTGTTGTCTTGTGTTTTAAATAATAGTTATTTAGCACAGGGACACGACAGCCGTTTACTTCGATATTTAATTGCGACGCAACGAATACATCTTTTTACAAAACATATTTCGATTGGTTATTTTAATTTTTTATGTAGTAACCAACAGATTTTCTCAACAAATATTTTTTATATGTCGCATTCGATTTGAATGAAGGGTTCGTATCCGATGTATGTGTCGATAGCTGATGGTTTTCACGAGATTTATAATAAACAGTTCGTCATACACAAATTTGGAAATATTTTGTTTGGTTGTCACGATATGAAGTCATTTGTTTAATACTTGTAAGTATGTATTGGGGTTTTATATACTTAGAAATTCGGTATTAAATATAAATATGTACGATCTATTTTTTTTAATTTGGCAAATTAAGTTTAATTTGAAAGTTACAACTGCAAACAATTGCTGGGAGATATTTTCTCACACCGAATGAATAGAGGTATAAATTGCAAATCGGAATTAATTATAAAAGGTATTACTTGTGTTGTTAAAAAAACCCCATCAAAACAACTAAAAATGTGCAATAAGTTACCAAATGTGAAAAGGAATGGGTTAGAATAAGTTATACATGATATGTTTATGAAACACTATACCCCCTGCTGCAACAAGATTATGAAGTGGGACATTAAAACCGTACTGTGTAAAGCAGGTACTTAATGCATGCACACTTTGTGAAACACTTAGTCCTCATTGAGGTCATATATTTTTTCACTTCAAATGTAGGTCAAAGGTCACGATCAAGGTCACACGGTGAAAACATTTGGTACAAATTTTGTTTTGTCACAAGGAGTACACATGCCAAATATGAAAGCCCGACCTCTCATGGTGCAATAGTTATAAACGATGTTAAAATTTTGCAAATGTAGGTCAAAGGTCACGATGAAGGTCACATAGTGAACAAACATGGTACCAACGAAAAGGTCATATCACAAAGAACACACATGCCAAATATGGAGCAAAAATCCATCAAGTCAAACAACAAAGTACCTTGATAGTTCAACCTAAACTTAAAGCAAATGTCGAGGAAAATAGAACACATGTAAAATCAAGCCAAACACTACCAGAAAGGATGCAAAAAAGTAAAAAGACGATTAGAATGGAATTTTAGTACATAAACTCAGCAATATCGAGAGTATTAAGAATAACTACAACAAGCCTTTCCTGAGGTACAAGAACTCCAGGAAGTAAGACAGCAAAGGAGTAGTAGCCCTGAAAAAAATGGCCTAGTTATCAAAAACAGCAAAACTAAGGCACAAATCCTCATCAGAAAATTCTCCTCTGTATACACTAGGGGAAAGGCCAGTAAAATATAAACACAACCAAGAGCAAATACTAACATCCCAAATCACAGAGGATGGAGTAGACAACTAAGAAAAAGTAACCCCACAAGAGCATCTGGACAAGATAACATCCCAAATAGAGCACCCAAACAGAGTGCTGATCATCCTGCTCCAACGCTCAGTCAGGTAGTTATTGAAGAAAGGTGACAGCCACAGAGCAACAAGCTACTGACTGGTAGTATCCCCTGTACCAAACTGCTCAAACGAATTATGTGCAGTCAAATCATGAAACGTCTCAAAAAACACAAAATCTTGACAACTTTATAAACCATGTAAATTTGTTAAGCTTTTCTCATTTGATTAGAGATAAAAACATCTTGTGCTGTTATGACTTCACGCAGTCAAACCATCTATGGTGAACTGTACTAGATATTTAAAGTATCCATCTTGATGTGTTATCAAACAGTTTAAGGAAACATTGTACTCATTTAACATAAACTAAGTAGATAAATTGTAATTAGTAAAATAGAATACATATGTGTAACTTGTTAGAATAGTTAAACAGTCTCATAAGTAGGAACACAACAAAGATGTTTTAGGCAGATTTCTGATAAAGCTCAGTTTCAAAACAACAATAAATGATACAGTGTTGTTTATCAAGCTTTTGCTTAGAGTGTGTAATGATTCTGTGGTCTGAACAATACCTGATAAATACATGAAATCCATTGTGTTGCTGCTAGACTGATCACAAGATACCATCTGAAAATGTCTCCACTGGACTAAGCTGGTCTTCATGACTGTGACTCACAAGACAACATGGATTCTTGAACTGATTTTAATTCCATCATCAGCTGTTAGGATGTTAAAATTGGCCACCATGATCTGTCATGTACGATACCTCCATTCTTCCTGTTTTCTCCAGCCATTACTTGAGATATACATGATTTATTGTACCCAATTGTGACTGCCTCACTTGGGAACTGACCAGATTCCAATTAGGTGAAGGGAAACAAATTTTGTTTTAATGGTAGGGGTGGGGACAAAGGCATGATAGGGGAAATGTGGCAAATTCTTTAAAACCCTTCTATAGGAGTGGAATGATTCTGTCCTAATTTGATCAGAAGCATCCTTGGGTGATGGGGAATCAATTTTGTATAAACACTGGGTCTTGGCCCCCTTGGCTGGGAGGGACAGGGCCAAACGAGAGAAATAGGGCAAATTCTTAAAAATTGCTTTCCGTAGGAATGTCAGGATTCTATTTCAGTCAAGGAAAAGCTGCAAAGTCCTTTCGCTGTGAAAAAGGTATGTTGAGTATCATTGGTCAGAAATATCTTAAGAGAGTGCTCAATGTGTATAATCTAGGATCTATCATATTGCTTGGATTAAGCAATTGTGACCAAGTCAAACATGATGAATGATACATGCCCTATGGGTGCACATAAATATATATACATGAATAATGTGAATCTTTTTAGTTTATTCTGTCTATATTTGTTGATGTTACTAAATTGTACTACTTTGTCTGTGTAATTAGAAAATGTATATGTTATTTCCGTTACTGTAGCGACACATTATCAAGGCTTATAACTGAATATTTACCAACTGATGATGCAGAGGATAACTTGCAGATCTTCTCATTATTTCTGAGATCAAGCCTTATATAGAGGGCATGGTCAATCAAATTGACTTCATCTTGTGTATGAAAGTGGAACAGCCCAAATACAGAAATATATCCAGAGGTTTACCAATATGAGCAAAATAAAACAGCAATTGGCATGCAAGTCATGATTTTTTTCTATGCATGTGATGTATGGATTAGAACCAAGGGTCAGGAATGACCTTAAATCAGATTACAGGTGTCAAAGAAGGAGTATCTGAGAACCACAATATCCAGTCCATCGCGAGCAAGGATGACAAACTGTATGTTGAAATGAACCTCAGTCTACATGGACACAAGGTGTATTTGTACCTTACTCTAAACAAAGCTTTACACACATGAGGATTGGTCCCAATACCTTTACCCAAGCTAACAACATTCTTAAATGTGTCTTAAATTTGTACAAAAGACACACAAGTGAATAGCACATTTCAATATTAATTCAGAATTTGATACAATAGCACCAAATAATGAATGAAACAGCATCCTACAACTGTTTCATCCTAGGACTTGCCAGCAATGTTAAAGGCCTAAATAAAGCCTAGGTGGTGACTGAGGAAAATCCAAAGTGTTCAAAAGAAATGTCAAAATCTAGATGGGGAGGTACACTTGTTCCATAATTCAATAATTTTGTAAATTTCATACATCTGATTATTTCAGAGGAAGGTCAAGAACATCTTCATATTCTGAGCTGTGCCACTTTTAAAATGAATTAAAACATAACGAGCAGAATAAAGAAGACCTCAGGGACTTATTGAAAATCTCAAAGATTGTACAAAAGACACAAAAACACCTTTCAATACTAATTAAAAATTAGACAGAGCTAAATAATGAATTAATTGCGTCACTGAGATGTTAAGTCCTTCTAGGACTCGTCACTGATGATAAAGGTCGAAGTTTTGGAAACCTAGGAGGCAACAGAAGAAAATACAATTTAGTGACCTAAAGAAATATCAAAATCTAGATGGGGAGGTGAATTCTTATAAGATATTTCACTAAATACCTCGTAGAGGTTTAGTGTCATCATATACATGAAAGTTTGAAATTTATCATTGGGGCCCACTTTCAAGTGCATAGATCAGAGTGATCGACTGTCCATCAACTTTTTCTTTGAGTAGAATTTAAAATAGTAGAAAAGAATGTATGTATGTAAAGTATAAAGATCTTATTTGTCCAGAGTATGATGTCTATGGTATTATACCCACCAAAATTAGAAAATCAATATATCAGCTGCTTACAGCACCTTCAATCATTACTTAGTACTATGCATTTGACAGGGAAACTTTCCCACTTAGCAGTATCATAAGCATGACCACTGATTTCTGTATTGTGAATTTTCAATTTCTAAAGTAGTAACAGTCTCCCTTCCCCAATATGTGGTTCTTTGAATGTCACAGTTGATTCAATATTAAAAAGCTTGTTGCAATATTACGATTTCCACGAAGTTACAACACAAAGTTTGAGAGATGCTGGTTGATAATGACAACGGAAAACTTTTATGGGTGTTTTGATGATCTCAGTGAGAAATATTCTATCATGATGATCTCGGTGAGAAATATTCTATCATGATGATCTCGGTGAGAAATATTCTATCATGATGATCTCGGTGAGAAATATTCTATTTCATTGTTCATTTATGAAGTTAGGTGTGTTCAATAGTATGTCTGGATATTTTGGTATTACCTTACTTACTTGGATTGACAAAGATTAACTTGGCAAATGTCCAAGATTAAATATATAATACACGAGTCCTGGCCCTTCCTAAACACCTGGTCATATTCTCATACGTCATTGTGATTCTACATTTGTCTTGGTGTCAAGTTTTGGTTTGTTCATAATTTGCTCTTTCTTTATGGATTTTTGGATGTAATAAATACTTTGATACAATGTTTGTAAGTTCTTGTTGGTGTAAAGGTTTTGCATTTTGTATTAAGGGTCTTGTCTCTTTCATGCAGAGGCAGGGTCCAATAGTAAAAAATAGAGGCAGGTTAGTTACTGCCATATGTTCGTATCATAACCAATATGGGTTTTCTTTCAATGAAGGTGACAACATTTTGTTGGTATATACTGATATTCAAAATTGTTTTGCTTCTTTTGGTATCAAATTTAGTCAGGAGCATCCTCCTTTGAAAGTTAATCTAGTTTGATCGAGTTCAATCTCCTGAAGTCGAAGAACCATCACCCAGTTGTTGAAATACATGGAAATAAGAGGCCCTTATTGGAGCCCTAGTCTAGACTAGTACATTTTGTGTTGTAAAGATTGACATACACAACTGTAGTGGAAGAGTTAGAACTATGCTTCAGGATGTATACACAGACAGATACACAAGACAGTCCAGTTAAATGTCCTCCACAAACAGGTTTTGTCACCAAATCACTGGCTTTTGTATATGGTACATTATTTTTACTTGAGAAAATCCCTTCCTCAAAATATTAAAACTTTTTAACAATTTCAACAGTAACATATAAATATTATTTATTAACATATCATCACAACGATTGCTATCAACATTTTTTCAATACTTTGGCTGCAGAAAAAGTCACCTTCAATATCAAATTATCTGCTGTGTTATTGAATGATGTAACCAGTACGTTTCAGTACTGATAGACACAACTTTGCTGCATTTTCCCTGGCTTGTCTATTGGAGACTTTTTCTTTTCCCTGGAATTCGTAACCATTTACAATAACCTGAAAAAAAAAAACAGAAAATAAATTAACAAAACATCAACTGTACTTAATAAAACTATGGTAAAAATGTTAAAACCACACTGCCTATTTATATCGTCAATTTTACTTTACATTGTCACTTGACTACATGATGTAAATGTAGAGATGTTGAGAAAAAATTATTTTTGCCACTAATTTAACTGTAGTGTAGTGAGAAATTCAGTTTTACCAGTAGTCTAACTGTAGTGTAGTGAGAAATTCAGTTTTACTAGTGATCTAACTAAAGTGCAGTGAGATTTTGAGTTTTGCCAGTGATCTCGCTAAAGTGCAGTGAGATTTTGAGTTTTGCCAGTGATCTCACTAAAGTGCAGTGAGATTTTGAGTTTTGCCAATACTGATCAAACTGTAATGAGAATTCATGTGGTTTTCTTTACGGTTATAAGTTTGTTTTTACTATTTGAAGAGGAGCACTGTTGGATCTAACTTGCAGTGTCTAATGGCTATAAGGTTTTCATAATGTAATTCATTGTAACTGATCACTTCCTTCCCAATAAACATTACAGTTCATACACTGTGTACTGCCTTCTGGTAACTATACTGTAATGAAACTTTTGATATTTTTACTAAGGCAATTAGTGTCTAATATGGTACAAATTACTGTTGTGTCATGACTATATCAAATTATGAAACATTACATACACAATGCCTTTCATTGTGTCTGTTTACTAAGGCAATTAGTGTCTAATATGGTACAAATTTGAGGTTTTTTAATGTAAAACCAATTTTCATGAGGTAATACTTACCATAACTTTAGTATGCAAATATGGTACCTACACCCATCTTTGTATCCCAAAAACAAAAGATTCAAAAATCCCGCCCTCCCTACGACCATGAGCCTTCACGTCATGAACATAGAGTTATTTCCCTTCCTCTTAGCCTTTATGTAGCACCCGTAGAGGGGCAGTCAGGCAGATAGGAAGAGGGGAGGAAAGGGTGGGACTCCATAAAGTTATGGTAAGTATTACCTCATGAAAATTGGTTTTACATTAAAAAACCTCAATTTCATTTCAGTAATAACTACCATAACTTTAGTATGCGAATTCGTCTTACCGTAGTGGTGACTAGCAGCCAGGCAGCCCATCTAGCACACTAAACTTGGTAGGGAGGGGGGACAGAGTGCATAGAATAAGGAGGGGCAACCTCCCCGTGACCGAGCAGGTAAACCACGTGCCGCCGAACGGAAAAGACGAGCCCCGGGGCTAACGGGTGGCACAGCCACAGACTGTGCAACCACCAGAGGTCCCAAAGAATACAAACCTTCTGAGTGGGAAGCCAGGGATCTCAGATAAAAATCTGTAAATGTATCCCTGCCCCGCCAGAAGGCAGCAGACATGACCTCTTGAAAGGAGGACCCATTAAGAAGGGCCCAGGATGCAGCGAGGGCCCTTACCTCATGAGCCCGCACTCTCACCCTCGCCCGAGCCTGGTCATCAGAATGCTCATAAGCATACTTAATGACCTGGCATACCCACCTAGACACCGACTGGGAGGAGATGTCTCGCTGTCCCTGTTTGATAGGCAAAAACAGACGGGATCTGGACCCCGCCCCCCCCCCCCCCCCCCTGGTTTTATCGAGATAAAACCTAAGAGCCCTACAGGGACAAAGCAATCTATCCCTCTCCTCCGAGCTAGTCAAAGCCGGAATCTTGATGGGATCGGGCGAGAACCCCGGGACTTGATTCTTCGCAAGGAAGGAAGGATCAGTTAAAAGAGTAACGGCAGCGTAGCCTCTGGACCAACGAAGGCAGGAAGGAAGTGACGACAGGGCGTGCACTTCACTCCTCCTACGTCCAGAGGCCAGACCCAAAAGGAAGACTGTCTTAAAAGTTAGAAACTTCAAAGAGGCAGACTCCATAGGCTCGTAAGGTGACCTCGTCAGGGAATCTAGCACCAAGGCTAAATTCCACTGCGGGGCCAGCTGCCGAACTCTGGGTCTATCCAAAGCGAAGCCTCTGATTAGGGCAGAAAGAGATGAGGAAGAACCTATCTCCTTCCTGCCGTAAAAAGCCAAGACACTGGCAATTGCTGTCCTATAGCCAGCAATAGTGCCAGGTGCCAGATTGCGGTCCCTAAACAGAGAGAGTAGGAAATCCGCAATCAGCTGAACAGAGGCTTCGTGGATCAACCTCCCTGCCGACACACCAATCACAGAAGATCTTCCATCTGGACTGGTAGACGGCAGAAGAGGAAGCCCTGATAGATCGTGCGATGCGACCTCTCTCGAAAAAGCCTGCCTTGGCGAGGCTTCCAGAGATAGCCTCCACGCGTGAAGGTGGAGGATCTCTGGTCGAGTGTGTCATCCTGCCGAGGCTGACGCAGGAGATTCGCTGGTGGGGAGAGCCAGTGGCTCCTCCACCAGAAACGACAAGAGCTCCGGAAACCAAGGCTGCCTCGGCCACAGGGGGGCTATCAGAAGTAAGGAGCAGTGATGCTCCCTGAACTTCTGAAGCACCCTGCCCACCAGGTTGAAGGGAGGGAATGCATAAGCATGCATCCCTCGCCCAAGCCTTCGGATCTGGGACCTTGGCAGCTGATTGTTCAGAATGATCTCATAAGGTCTGTACACCTGACAAATTCCCCGGATGACCGGCAGGGACACAGCTGCCAATCCGTCCGGCGGCGCCTGGAGAGGGTATCCGCCAACACGTTCAACCTGCCCGGAAGATGCTTGACCGTAATGGACAATTGCATCTCCTGACAGAGAAGAAGGATAGAGGGCGCACAGGACATGAGACCTGGTGCCCCCTTGTCTCTCCAAACGCGACACACACAAATCGCCTTGGACTGCAGAAATCCCCAAAGGATTACAGTGCCAAAAGACTATGCATTTGATGTGCTCCGAGGGAAACTTCCCCGAGCGACAATGGCCGTCGAGGTAAGCTCCACTTAGCAGTATCATAAGCATGACCACTGATTTCTGTATTGTGAATTTTCAATTTCTAAAGTAGTAACAGTCTCCCTTCCCCAATATGTGGTTCTTTGAATGTTGAGATACCCCAGAAAACTGAGGAACCAACGTACCTGGACCTGCGACCGTTCGATGAAGGACAGAGCTAGAGCCCTGGCCTTCTCGAACTTCTCCACCAGTGGTAGGGCTATGCCCAGAACCGTATCGAAACGATTCCCCAGGAAGACAAAGTCCTGAGATGGGGAAACCTCTGACTTCTCTCTGGAAGGAATGAAGCCGACTCTTGAGTAAGACTTTCAGGACCAGTCTGGTATCCTTCACTAACGATTCCCTCACCCTGTGAAGCATGAGGGAGTCGTCGAAATAGATGTGGACGTCTATTCCACGAGAGTGAAGAAATCCCACGACTACCTGCAGCAGCTTGGTGAAAACCAAGGGAGCTGTCGTTAGCCCGAAGGGCATGGCCCGGAATTGGAAGACCTTGCCGTTGCACGTGAAACGGAGGAACTTCCGTGCCTACTTCTTGATGGGGATATGGAAATAGGCGTCCTTCAGATCTACTGAAGTTGCCCACATCCCGTCCCTCACGGAGGCCATGATGCCCCGTGGGGTCTCCATCTTGAAGTGAGGAGAATCTACGTGCCTGTTGAAGGCACTGAGATCTATGATCGGGCGCCACTCTCCGGACTTCTTCCGAACGAGAAACATTCGGGAGTAGAAGCCGGGAGTGATTTCCGACATAGGAATCTCCTCTACCGCGCCCTTGGCAAGTAAGGTCCTTACTTCCTCCTGGATCGCCCGAGCCTTCTCCAAATCCCCTGGAGGAGGAAAGAAGATCGGCTGGGCGGTAAGAGGCGGATCCTGAAGAAGGGGAATACCTAGACCCTCCTTGACCACCGACAACGTCCACACGTCCTCCGTAATTTCCTGCCACTGGGATAGAAAAGCGGAGAGACGCCCGCCCACAGGAAGCTCTGGCTGGGGCAGATCGAGTCCCTGCCAAAACAGAGATTCGTCCGCCCATCCGGAGTCTGAGCCTGCGGGAGAAGGACAAGAGACCTGAACGGGAGGACCGCCGTCCACCCCGCCAGACCCCTGTTCTGTCTCGGTCAAGGAGAAGAAAGAGTCAGGAGCCCTTCTTCTTGCTCCCAGGAGGTTTCTTACCTTTCTTACCTTTCCCCTTATTGCCCTTGAAGTGTGGCTGCGATTTGGGTTGGGCAGACGCCTGCCCAGCCGAAAACTTAGCCCTCTTCTTGGGAGGCGCTGACCCCTGCGAGGTGCTGGCCTTCTCGGAACGAAACCTCTTCACCAAGAGTGCTGAGGCGACCGAGTCCTCCTTCATATCCTTCTGGACAGAAGGAAGAGCTCCCCCGAACAGGGTAGAGCCAGTGAAGGGGGCAGTCAATAGACGAGAAAGATAAGGTTCTTCGACTGGGCGATTTTTTAAAATAGAAAATCGCCTAGCCAACACGACATTGGCGAGCAGGGAGACCTGTAAGGTCGCCGATGCCCTCAACGCCACGTTCAGGGCAGCTGTAAGCCTGTCCTGAATGTCGGCCTGTTCCGTCTCTGGTACCCGACCCTCAGGCAAGTCGGATACCTTGTATAGACTCACAGTCAGGAAGTCTATGTAAGACAGAACTTGGATGGAAAGGCGCAACATCCTCTCCATCCTGTGGTGTTCTCTAGCATCGAACACCACCTGGTCCACTGATTTGCCGGGCCAGGCAGCCAGCTCCCTCGACTCCAGCTTTGCTGGTTGAGGGGCCAGTTGCCCGTCATGTGTAGCGTAGTCAGCGGTAGAAGCCTCTGACAAATCGCCAACACCGAGCTGCAGACCGGCAAACCCGGGGGTGCGGGTAGATGAAGAATTCTTCTCCAAAACCCGTGCCCGGGCAGTGGCCAGAGCCGAAGACACAATGGTGCCTTCTGGCAGAGTCCGATCAGTACGAACGGAAGCCCGAGGAGCCACCAAAGAACCTAGAAGGGTGGTGGACTCGGGCACCGACGATGCAGAAGGGGGTGGGCATACCTCCGCTCCGAGAATCCGAGAAATGTCGGCCCGTAGGGCCCGCATCCCCGAAAGAACATGCTGAGCCTCGGTTTCAGCAATCTCGGAGCCCCCTACCTCCTGGGAACCCTCCTGGTCGGAAGGGTCATCTGCCGATGACTCGGACGGATCAATCGCCGAGCACCCAGGAGACAGATGGATAACATCGTCATCCTCTGCCAAGCCCACGCCCTCAGCGTCCATCTCCTCCTCGCTAACGACCGAAGTCGCCCTGGGAGGAACAGGGGCCGCCAGAGGAGACCTCTCCGGAGAGGGGGACTCCTCTATACGGCGTTTAGACGTAGAACGTCTAACAGCCGAAGCTGTAGGCTTAGAAGCCAACCCCTGAGGACAGGAGACCGACGAGTCCGCGCGGGAGGCGGAAGTCCTAAAGGTCCGGCGAACCTTTTTAGGACCGGCCAAAACGGCCCCCGAAGTAGCAGAGCGTTGGGGGGATTCAGCACTGCTAAAACGTCTCCTAGAGGGAGAGACCATACCCCAAGGGTTCCATGAAGGAAGACCCATGGGGTTGAACCCAAACCCCTGAGGGAATGGGAACAGTCACACGGGCTGGGAGTGACCCCAGAACTGACCAAATTGGCCTGCCTGAGCCTGGGGCTGGACACCCTGTCCAAAGGACCAGGATGAACCTCCACTCCCACCAGGTGGAAACCCAGCCATGTACGGGCCGAGCCCGTAACAGCTGGGTAACTGTTGGTACCCATGACCATCCGCAGGTTGGCCTGGGCGGCCCGGGATTGAGTGCCCGCAGGCACCCCTACACCCCGAGCCCGGGGGAAAAGGCGACCGGAAACCGGAAGCCTGACCTGGGGCCCCAAATCCCTGGGGGAAACCCCCTGGGAAACCTTGCACAGGAAAATCTGGACTAGAGCGAAAAGCCCCAGATGCAGAGACCTGTGAGGGTAGGAACCCAGGCCCCGCACTGACACTAGGATTAGTGAACTCAGTGTCACTAATCCCCGTAGCCACTGACAACCCTGACAAAAAATCAGTGACCCCTGACCCCATACCCGAGGGTACCGGTCCGGCGTCAGGGCGGCCCCCACCAACGACGCCACCTGGCGTGCCGAGGTCCCTGAAAGACTCAGAGACCTGTGACCGGAAGTCCCTTTCCGACGGTAGCACCGCCGGCTGTTGAGAGCTACCGGCCGATTCGACCCTAGACTTCGCCGAGTCAGGGTCGGGTTGCTCCCCCCCTATACCAGGACGCGCCTGGACAGGGGGAGCCACCCCCTGCTCGAGGGCGGAGCTCAGTGTGAGAACACCCCCAGCAGTGACAACCTCACCCCTCGGCTCAGGGCCGGGGGTAGAAAACCTGGATGGCTTACCTCTCTTACCGGAAGATGAGGACGAATCCCTCTTCCGGCGAGAAGTTCGCCGACTGGGTAGGGGAACCTTTACAGCGGACCCGGCGTGCAAACAAAGTTCGCACGGCGAGGCATCGCTGCAAGGCCGGCATAAGGGACAGGCATCATGGGGGTCCTGCTCTCCGTAGAAGTGAGAACACCCATGTGCTGAACCACGACGCATCCCTGAATCCATAATTGTTACGAAATAAATAATCAAATAACAACAGTTATTAATACAAATCAACGTAACAAAAATAAATGGAGTGAAAAAAACACAACTCCAACAAACAAATACGAACGAAAGCAAAAGCTAACGAAACGTAAAAAAGCAAAGCAAAATATACGGTCGAATAAATAATACGACCGATAAAAAGCGAAAAAACTTCACGAAATAACCGAACAGCGCAAAACACGTAGATACGCGCTCGGTGCGTGGAGTATAGCAAAATGGCCGAACAAAGGCCGGCCGATAAAGGCCTAAAAGCAGGATATATTAACTAAATAAACGTCTGCAAAAGACAGTTATAGTTAAGGATGGGTTTAAAGCAATAAACCGATATATAAATACTCGGTTATAAGCTAGACTTAAGCTAAAAGGAAAAGGAAGGCACTCAGCTGAATATAGCACGTCCGCCCGCTCCGGTAGCCATAAAGATAAGAGGAGGGGAAATAACTCTATGTTCATGACGTGAAGGCTCATGGTCGTAGGGAGGGCGGGATTTTTGAATCTTTTGTTTTTGGGATACAAAGATGGGTGTAGGTACCATATTTGCATACTAAAGTTATGGTAATTATTACTGAAATGAAATACTGTTGTGTCATGACTATATCAAATTATGAAACATTACATACACAATGCCTTTCATTGTGTCTGTCATATTGTTGTTTCATCCATTGTTTTAGTGCCTTCAGTAAGACCATTATCGTTACTCCCATGACCAGTGCACTCCAGTATTTTAGTAGCTCCCATCACAATTCAGATAGTGATGTTTTAGTCCTGATTCATCTCTGATATCTCTTTTGCTCTTTCAATGTAATACCTACCCCATTATTGTTGAAACAGGTGCTAAACACACCAAGTAATTGCATCCTGATTGTCATGTCATGAATGGTTTTTTTTTTCTATGGCAAGCAAAAATGGCACTTTTGACATATTGATATTTTTCTTGATGTTTTTTTGATTGAAATTGTTAGTTTTTGGTTCATTAATATTTTAAATATACCTTCTATCAGCATCATGTTCTATTTCATTGTTGTATTGTAGTTGAATTTTAATTGTTCCTTTTAAAAGCAGCATAAATATTACTAATGGCAAAAGTATTGTATCAAAAATCATAGAGAATTGAAAATTGTAGTCTGTGTATTGTGATGTGTATCATGTCAGAAATGAAAGGTACTGTTATTGTTGTACCAGATAATGTATATTTACCTTGTACACAAACTTTTTATTTAAATTCACTTCAGTCACACTAACAAGGTAGTATTCTGGTATTTCCCAGCCTTGTCTAACACAGAATTCATGGAGAATAGCTCCTGGAAAAAATGAAAACAAGATAATTCATGCAATTATACAACAAACTGAAAGAGCCTATAGTTCAGGTTTGGTGAAGACAGACTTACTGCAGGACTTATAAAACAAGGGCTGTCAAAGATGGATTATGCTCCCTGATTGGGACATAATTTGAGTATGAAAAATAACAAAGGGCAATAACTCCTAATTTATGCAAGAGAGAGTGAAGGTTCTAATGCATTGCACTTCTCCTTGCTGTGATCTATGTACCTAGGAAGTTTAACATTGATACCTTTTATTGTTCTTGTCTTATGCTCCAGACAAAATTATGTCCGGGTGTCTGGACAGACTTTAGGTACTAAATTGTCCTAAATTTTTATGAAAGTTATTTTATGAACTATTGCTAGGTAACAGAGACAACAGCAGAGTTAATGTGGTTTGTAATGTGATATGAATTTCATCAATTACTTGTTTTATCTCTGACAATGACACAAAACAATCAGGATTTCCCATGATTGTTCATGACTGGATTATTGAATGTAAACATTCATAGGGGTGCAAGTAATTCCTTCATACCTGCAAAAATTGGTGAAAATGAAAAATATTGATGTCTTTTGAAACCATGCAATACCTGTAATATTGTATACCCAATCACATAGGGATTACATACACTGTTTTGCCCCTTAGCAATGTACTTGGTTGGGTTATTTGCAGATTCTTCATCTCATCAAATATTTGTCAGCTTTTTGTAATGATTCTGCTGCTAATTTTGTAGCTGTACATGATACTACTGAAACAAACAGATGTTGTGAACAAGCTACTTAACTATACAGATCTTTATGACAGGATTAATGCACAATATTGTTTGCATTAAAATATCAGGACCATTAATAAAATGACTAATACAATTTGGAATATTTTTGCAGTAATAGCAAAAATCACTCCTCTTAAGTTTTAATATTCCCTCAAAATTTCAGCTCAGTGGCATCTCTGGAATCAAGAAGAAATTTTGAAATGTGTTTATCAAGATGGTGGCCACGGCAGCAATATTGGATTTTGGACTGACCCAACAAAATACCAACACTTGATGGCTATAGGTCATCCTGACAAGTACAAATTACCTTTGCAAATTAATGAGAGTATTTATTCACCTTATTAGCAACCTAGCTTAGCCTGAGATATGAAATATTTGGTTAAAACATTTCAAGGCTGTTGTTGAAACAAAAGAAATAAATAAAGATGCCTACTTTTCATCAGCTATGCCAGTGAAATTCAAATTGTTGTGTAAAATTAAGTTTGGGATTAATCTATGTGAATCACAAACTTAATATATTTTGTTCAGCATGTTTCAGGTCAAATATGACACTAAGTTTCAAAGTAGACTAAGATAATTAATAATAAAAATAATTAATTGAAAAAAACCTCTTACTCTTTGATTCTAGCCGTCTTGACTGGTTGCTTTGACTTGTCTTGTATTCCATCTTCGGTGTGGTGCCAGTAAAAGATACGAAAACATCTGTGTTGGTATCACTCTTTGATATCCGATGATGTGCAAAAAATGCTTCTGCTGCAGATGATCTGGCTTCCCATTCAGTAGAACAAGCTTTGGACTCAAATTCTTCTCCATTTACAACCAGCTGCAAAAACATTATTCTAATTTATTTCAAATACTAAATCAAGGATCAAGGCCAGATTTGGGACAACATGCCAGTTTAACTAATTGAGGAAGAATGGTGGGGGTTCCATGTTGTCCTAGGTCCCTGGTAGGGCTATCAGGGAGGGAAATGTACGTATTGAGTTTGGTTTTATATTGTCTAAACTCCTAGCATTTACTATTGTCAACAGCCTGTCTATCTGTATATATCATGAGGTGAGGGCATGTGTTGAGTGCGTGTCACCTTGTTTGTGGGAGCTGGCTGTGTATTTTTGTGGAAGCCTCTTTGTAATGATGTTAAACTAAAGCCAACTTTATGGCACTACCACACTGAAGTATACTGCCAAACTGGCGACAACTACGCGAGAGCAAAATGTTTTGTTGGATAATATAATGTAAATCTGATGAACATTTCCCGAAAAACAATTTTATTTGACACAAAAATTTCAACAAAGGACAATAATTCTGTAATTAAGAGGTTTCAGGCACTGAATTTGGTACACTATACATCCTCTTAGTATGACCTATGTATCCACCAAGTTTCCTTATCATAGTTTAAGAATTTCAGTCTTACATCTCATTAAACAATTTTTGTTGTTGGGATAAATTAGAGTAAAATGAAGATTTCTTTTACCTTACAAATAAACTTTGGTTGCAATTTGCTGCTGTACAGTGGGTCACTCCATTGTAACTTCTGGCAAATCTCGTTTAAGAGAGCGACAGGATCCTGTGATGCTGTGACAATTATAAATGAAACAGTATAAAATATTCCCAAACTAGCACCAAGTTTAAATATCAAATAGATAAAATGATCTGAGTCTGTTTAAGATTTGATATTATAAATTCAAGTTATTGGAACACTACCTTCAGTTTGGACACTTTCATCTGATGAATCACTGTCAGTGTACATGTTTTCTGTCACATGGTCCTGAAATAATATCGAAGAGTACTGTAATGGTGTGAACATCCACATGAGATGCCCGTGGACCTAACTGATCATCTGACTATAAATACCTGTTTATGATACAACACCAGTAGTAGTACAGTGGAACCCACTTAATGTCACATTTGATCACTTTCTGGTTAATATCACATTTTCTTGAAACACTGATTTTCCCCTATATATTCTATGTTATCCAACATCTGATATTACTTATTTTCATGTGAGCAATGCATAATAACACTTCAAGTTGCTGACTATCACAAAGAAACTACAGGTTAATCACAGGTAACTGTAGTAGGAACTGTTATTAAACATTTTAGCAGTAAATGTTAAAAAACACTCCTCATTACAGTTTCTTAAAATTCCCAAAAATTTCACTTCAACGGCACCAAAAGAATAAAAAAAATGTTAAAATGTGTTTTTCAAGACAGGAGCCATATTGGATTTTGGAACAACCCAAAATATAACAATACTTGATCAGGACCAACTCAGAATCATTTCAGGCAAGTTTTAAGTCAATCCCACAGGTGGATTCTAAGCAAAAATTTTAAATTGGTTTTGCTCAGCAAATCATCATCATGACTGGGCACAGATGTTACAATATGGCTGCTATGGCCACTACTGTGTATTGGACAAAAATGAAATTCCTTTCAGGAAATGAATTTGTGGAGGATATTAACTTGAATGGATGCTATAATGTGTGTCTGTCTGAGGAGATTTAAGAGCTACAACTTGAAATCCATTCTCAATAAACTTTGTATGCTTATTGTTACATTGCTCTTATTGTGCCATTGCTAATGACTAAAGAAACATCATGAATACAAAAATTTAACATTTACAAGTTTTCTAGATCATAACTTGTAAACTGTTTATCTGATCTCTACAAAGCTCTGTATGCATATCACACTCATAATCTATCTGTTCCATTGAAATTTTCGAGATTTCGTTTCTCTGTTACCATGGAATCAATGTCAGAAATACAAAATTTACCAATTGCAAGATTTTCTTCACTACAACTTAGTCTTCAATGGATCTCTACACAACTGTGTGAGCAAATCAGGCTGGTGCCCTAGTTGTGCCTTTGATATTGATAAGAATTTAATTTTGATATCTTCTCTCTGTTACCAAGGAAACAGTCAGAAAAACAAAACTTAATGATAGTAAGCTTTTCTTTTAAAACTGTTCAGCTGATCTCTACTATTGTTTAACCTTAAAAAGGTAGATATATAAACGTATGTTTGGATGTATATATCAACAAGTGGTGCATATTTCGGAACATTTTCTTCAGTTGGATAATGTCTACAAAATAAAAGGTCTTATAACACAACCAGTAGAAGATGTGGATGTTTCAATGACTATACTGTCACCTTCATCTTATAACACAACCAGTAGAAGATGTGGATGTTTCAATGACTATACTGTCACCTTCATCTTATAACACAACCAGTAGAAGATGTGGATGTTTCAATGACTATACTGTCACCTTCATCTTATAACACAACCAGTAGAAGATATGGATGTTTCAATTACTATACTGTCACCTTCATCTTATAACACAACCAGTAGAAGATGTGGATGTTTCAATGACTACACTGTCACCTTCATCTTATAACACAACCAGTAGAAGATGTGGATGTTTCAATGACTACACGGTCACCTTCATCTTATAACACAACCAGTAGAAGATGTGGATGTTTCAATGACTACACGGTCACCTTCATCTTATAACACAACCAGTAGAAGAAATGGATGTTTCAATGACTACACTGTCACCTTCATCTTATAACACAACCAGTAGAAGAAATGGATGTTTCAATGACTACACTGTCACCTTCATCTTATAACACAACCAGTAGAAGATGTGGATGTTTCAATGACTACACTGTCACCTTCATCTTATAACACAACCAGTAGAAGAAATGGATGTTTCAATGACTACACGGTCACCTTCACCTTATAACACAACCAGTGGAAGAAATGGATGTTTCAATGACTACACTGTCACCTTCATCTTATAACACAACCAGTAGAAGAAATGGATGTTTCAATGACTACACTGTCACCTTCATCTTATAACACAACCAGTAGAAGAAATGGATGTTTCAATGACTACACGGTCACCTTCACCTTATAACACAACCAGTGGAAGAAATGGATGTTTCAATGACTACACTGTCACCTTCATCTTATAACACAACCAGTAGAAGATGTGGTTGTTTCAATGACTACACTGTCACCTTCATCTTATAACACAACCAGTAGAAGATGTGGTTGTTTCAATGACTACACTGTCACCTTCATCAGACAAATAACCATTGCAGGCTACAGAGTCTCACACATCTATGACCATGCGTGTTACAAAGCAAATCAACTACAGTACATTGTTACCACCTTGTGTACATCAACAATCTCGTCAAACTATTTTTGATCTTAGTGCACATAGGATTAGAGTACAGCCAAAAAAATTGGTCAATTCCTTACCATCTCGTACCTTCAGTGTTAGCACAATTCACACTGGTCATATGTATGGTGAAGGCGACCATGCAGTCGTCAAAATTTCACTTTCAAATCTGCTTCTGGTTGTGTTATAAGAACTTTTATTCTATGGTGCTTATTGGTAAGGATGAAATGATTTGAAGATGCTTTCATTAAAAATTGCCAACTTTATGACCTTTGGGCCTCCAATTTCCCTGTAGGGAGGGATGAAACAGGTCAAACTGACTAATATTTTGACAAGAGGCCCGAGAGGGATCATGGCATCCACCATTGTTTGATCTTTATTAATTTTCTTCTTTGTAAGTACGATTTTTTTCCTTCTTTTCTTTGCTATTTCATTTAACATGTTAGGCACAAAAACAAAACTCAACTGAAACTCAAGAATCCACAAAAGAATAAAATTATACCTATAAAAGAACAGACAAGGTGAAGTCAGTTAACCACAAAAAAACAAGGTTTGTTTGAAAGGACAGGTGGACAGCCAATCTTATACAGTATTAAAAGATTTCATCTATAGACTCTCTGAAACCGATTTACTACTGTTTATTTAGACTAAACTTTTTTTCTACAAATTGACACATCATCTTCAGTCAATAATACAAGTTAATATTACACACCTTGGGCCAAAACTTGTCCTTCAGGTATTCTGAGAGCCCGTTATCCTCCATACTACAAGCAAGCTGTGAATGCTGTGTGTGCTGTGTCTGCATCATATATTTTTTTGACTTGGGGTTGGGCTCACTCAATGACTCCTCCCATTCCTCTCTAGCTAATTTAAATATATCCATAGTGGCTGTAGCATCCTCCACTGAGCAATGAGTGTGTGACTGTATTCTCCTTCCTTCAAATTTACAACAGAAAAAAACTCGGTGTAATGTTGTTAATATCATGTGTAAGTTACCATAATCAACTTAATTCCTATTTTTGTGTAGTTCTTCCAAATCATCAAACATTAATATTTTTAAATATTGTTTTTCAATATTTATTCTGACAAATGTTGACATTCTAACAGAACATGTATAAATCTATGTAATTTTACTTTGATTTCAAATTCTGTCAAAATTTAAAACTAGTCTTACCAAGTAAACGCCAGGATAGCTCCCTTAAATTGTTCCTTTCACATCCCAATTCCTTCACTTTTCGTTTCATAACAGGATTATGTAAAGTGTCTCTAATCATCTCTGCTGGGTGTTCTATTTTCATCACACGCAAATCATTACCAACATCATGACCAACTAAAATTTTATCCTGTAAACAATATTTTAACGTTAATGTACTTGTATTTCAAGTAGATTATATATATCACACAACATAAATGTCATACTATCACTACAGAAAATGCATTCATCCCTTTCTATGAATATTGAATACACAGTCAGCTGATTATGCAATGAATCAATTATCGAAAAAGTCTTTCCAATCTTAAGCAATGATCTATTATGGACTTTTTTACCAATTTCCCATCACTACAAGGAAAATATCTGTTCTATTATAACTGGCGTACACCGCTAATAATGAATTATTCATTCTAAATCAAGTTATAATTGACATAAGACAACAAAATGGATAGGGAATGTAAATATAAGCATTGATCTGTCTTCATGTTATGGCATTTATACAGACCATAAATGCCATAAGAAGACACTGCAATCCTTAAATAAACACAATATTGGACACAAATGAAATACCTACTAAGTCATTTTCACATCTAACCAACATACACAATCCTACCTACTGAGACTATAACACAAAGTCCTGAAAACTCTTGTTCAGTTCATATTTACCTTCAATAAATCTTTCACAGTTTTCTGTACAACTTCAAAAGGTAAAGCATTGACCATGTGACCTTGTCTGATGCCACTGTACTTGGTACGATAATCGGTGATCAATTCCTCACAAGAGCTGTACATGTCGTAAACAATATTGCCATAATAATCCACAATACTACAGCGACCTACAAACAAACCATCAGCATATTTATCACCTTTGACCAAATATCTCTATAACACTTTTGTCAATACAAAGTAATTTTAGATCATAGATCCACCATGGCATAACATATTTTCAAACATATTCCTTGTGAAAAGTTTAGAAAAGTTTTTCGACATGTACAGTACTGGTACGTGCCTCTGCTTTAGGGGCACATAGATTCATTGATCAACTGACTTCCCCTTGCTTACCTAAAACTTTTCATTTCAAAGCAGTCAATATAGCCCCTTCTGTAATTTATGATCCTTACCATAATATTTAATATCTGTCTTCCTTCCTTAAAATCCCATGAATCCATGCTTAATTAATTAATGCTTATTAGTCCTATCTCATTTAATCTTCTCATTTTCCCTTGGTCGTTTTTTAAGTTTTGTACCATGCAATAACATAATTTTGCATGAGCCAGGATTTCTTATTTTCCAGGCATCCTGGATGAAGTCTAAATGACAAAAAAAATGTCAAATATTCATCATTCATATTTTTTTAACTGTGCATGCTGGAAAAGTATAATAAGTAACTTATGATGTATTTTCATCTTTCAGCCCCATTCAGGGATTCCTAAACCCTGTCCACAGGGTAACAACAACAAGAAGCCCAATGGGTCTGTATCGCTCACCTGTTCTACAGCTTACTCAAGAATACTTTGTCAATTTATTAATGATCCAGACAAGGCACCTCAGTCAAAAATAGTGATAAAGTATAACTTAGAAAATACATAATGGTCTCCTGTCAGCCATGTTTACTTTCTGATCTATCCCAAAAACTGACAATGAACAATTAGGGACCAAGAAGAATGTATATTGAAACTCGAGAATATAGTGATAATTGTTACTACATGAACAATTGTCAATTGATGACAGACCACAGACGAAGGGCGATTTGAACACTCCATCGTCTGATGATGGTAGACTCAAAAACGAACTGTAAATAAGATTATACCTAATCTACTGATGGATCCTTTAATTCCAACTCCAACGAATTCACAGTCCAAAGCTAAGTACTGGTTTACAGGTGGTATTGACTGTTTGATCTTTTTATCAATCACTTCATTTTCATTGCTATTTTGACTACATATATCTGAAACAGAAGAATCTGTACTTGATTTCACTTGACTATGTGTTATATCACCACAACTTTTTTTCACTTTCTTATCCAAGTGATGATTAAGAATCCTTTGGAGTCTAGATGACAATTTTCGCTTCTTTTTTTCCTTTCCACTACCTTCACCAGTGCTTGTGTGAGATGTTTCACCAACATTTGATGCATTAGTAGACGAGTGATTCAGAGGACTTTCATGAATACTGGACCCTGTATTGTTTCCTTTATCACAGTGTAACGTAGAATCTGTTAACACACTCGGTATTGAAATGTTTGTATCAATTTGATCACATGTTTGCTTATCCTCTGTCAACCCTTCACAGTCTTGTTGGAGACTACGTTTCATTTTGCGTCGTATTTTACTCATGACTTTTTGTAGATCTACTTCATCAACATCACTTTCTGCAGCTAACACAATAGATGGTTCTTCCATTATTGGTCTAAAGTATTCTATCTGTTGAGAAAGTTGTCCTTGATAGGACTGAATCACACCCTTAATCTGAAAGAGAAAAAAAATCCCATTTGACATATACCACTAAAATATTTACTTGTAGGCACATTCTTATAAATCAGATGCTGCAACAGTCATCGTCATCAAAATGTTTGTTAATTACTTCATAGAAACTTTTCAAGTGTCTCGTCATTCTTCTATATTTCAGAGTGGGGAGCTTTAACTTATGTAGTCGCTCCTCATATGATAATTCTTTAAATCCTGGTATTAGCTTGGTGACTCTTGGCTGTATGTTTTCTATCATTTGAATGTCTTTTGGAGTTCCATATTCCACATGTGGCCTAACCAATGCTATAAATAATTGTTTCGTAAGAGTTTCACCAATGTATATAAAGGATCTTCTGATAAGGCCTAACATTGATTTGGCTTTATTGACAGAATTTTGCATATGGTTTCAAAAGTATAATCTATCATCAACCATCACACTCAGGTCTTATTCAGTTTCAGTACTTTCTTAACTTCAGTTTCTGCTCTTTGTATTTCCTTTTTGTTTGTCCTGATTTTCTAATATGTAATGCTCTCCATTCATTAGGATAACATTTTCATAACCAATCATTTGACTATTTCTGCAGCTGATTTGAAACCTAATGTAGAATATCTATGTCATCCTACTTTCTGATTTTACGGCATAATTTCATTTATTCAGCACAAAGGAAACACATGTTGGTACAGTATTCTCTGGCATATCATTGATAGAAGTGGAAAATGAAATTCACCCCTGTACACTTCCTTGTGGAATTCCACTGTGTACTTTGTGACTTTTTGATGATGAACCATTTATGAGTACTCTTTGATGTCTATTATTCAAAAAGTCTTAATTCCAATTTACTGAATATGGTTCCTTATCTGTGAAGTTTGTGTAGTAGGCAGCAATGAGGAACCTTATCAAAAGCCTTCATGAAATCCATAACATTGGTATGTCCCACTTGAATCCTACATCCTTGCCCTATCATCCAAAACCATCAACATCTGGAGAGTTGTTGATCTTCCAACAATGAAGCCTAATTGTTTGTTGCTGATTATTTTCCTGTAATACAATTTTATCTCGCATTACCTTTCCCATTACCTTTACTATGATACGTGTGAGACTAGCTGGGTGATATTTTTTCTGTGTCCGATTTGGATCCTTTTTTTGTAAATGACTGTGATATTAGCATCTTTCCAAGATTGCGGCGATTCATTAAATATATTTGGTGGTTTGCTTAAGATGTCGGCAAGTTCTTTCAATGCCTGACTCATATTACGCAATTAACATAAATACAGATAAATATTAGAGATAGCATCCGATTAATATCATGGACATTTATTACATAAAGTTATGAACATATGTAAATTATTCAAACTACTTCATACATAAGTATATTAGGTATATTTCACATACACGTGTAGAAGTATGTCCGATCTCTGTGATGTCATCAAAATCCAAACTTTCAATATAAGATTCAGCATCGGAAACTATCACATAAATGTTCCTTGCTGAACCTAAAATTATTTTGGACTAGACTAAACCTTGTGTCATGCGCTACAACACAAAGTGAAACCAATTTTAATTGAAATACCTGTCGGTACGCCCTGCCCTTTTGTAACGTCAACACCTGGCTTACGATTCGAGAGTTCCGCAAAATGTGAAATCCAAAGGCCATGCTTTCTATACATTACTATCACTTGTCATTCAAACGCTTCAACTCCATGTAAAATTCAAGCGTTAGTCAGACAAGAATGTTGATGATGGGGTGAATTGGTGTACGCCGTGACCAGTTCCGGCACAGGAACTAGTATCAAGATTAAACAAAATAGAAAAATATATCAAGAACGAAAATTGAAGGGCGTATAACAAAACTTCCTATATTTCTCTGCATCATTTTAGCGAAGAAATTGGAGTTAGCTAACATTACTGTGATTATAAACCAAAAGTATATATATTTTTTTCAAAATAAAATAAATTTGGTTTTCAAAATTTTAAAATTGATTTGCTAACTTTTGCAACAAATAATTTCTGTTGACAATTAATACTTATGTTCATTTTAACTACCAACGAAATACCATCATGTATTTCAACCACTTTTTGACAAAACTAATAAGAAATTCAAGTCTAAGAATATTTATCATTTAAAAGCGGTGTAATTTTCCAACTGATTTATGTCAGTTTTGTGATAAATTGATAAGTAACTTTAATAACAGATTAAGAGAAAGATCTCTGTGCTTTAATTCATTAGTGTTATTTTTTAGCGAAATGATATTCACTTCTCACTGGCCATAAAATGGCTGTGGTCAGGTCTATCTGCAATGAAGTGAATAGGGCATAGGTAGATAAGGTTAATTAACAACATGGAGAAGAAGGAATTTTATAGCTCAGTGCACAAACACAAAAGCTAACATAAGATAAATCACCACTGCACCTAGTTTCTTATCACTCTATATGATACATCCCTGAAAAAACGACGAATTTCATTTTTTTCACAAATTTTAACTCGGTAAATAAACAGAATAAGTCAGACACTTCCAATGAATTTGCTTTATTTTCTTGATTTTCTTGATATTGGCGATTGGCATTTTGTTTTCGTAAAATGAATCAGTCTTTTCAATCGGTGACAAAGCATTTCTTGAGTCAATACATTATCTTGATTGTTTGTTTAATTTTTAAATTCATTTATTGGGGTTTGCTCATGATGCAGACATCTTACAAGCATTTAACAGGTAAGAAATCGGGACCAGACCGGTTTTGGACCGAAATTAGATGCTAACAGTTTGTATCATGATCTGACTAACGCTTGAAATAGACGAGGTTAAGCGTCTTAGAGAAGGATCCAGCTCATGTGTCAATAACATTGTAGATTGTTAATATTTCAAAGAAGGATGGCTTACATCCCGGTTCGACAGGTGCTATCTAATAAGGTTTGTTTAATTGTGTTTTACCGTAACCGACACTGCGACGAAACGTCAACGGGACTGAAGTGTCAATATAGGTTGGAACCCAGCAAATGTGGCACTTGTATATCCTTGGCGCATTAGTTTCGGACCCCTTAAGAATAATTTCTCGCTAGCTACGTTATGTCGATGAACTGCCAACAAACAAATACATATAATAAATTGAAAAGTGTTCATACTCTAAAATTTATTAAAAAAAAAAAGAAAACCTGACCGATGAAACACCAGTATTTCCTAAAACATATCCGCAGATACAACCACAAATTTGCTTACCTGAGATAACCTACATCACTTTATCAAAGAGACGCTTGAGTTAGCTTAAAGTGACACAGATGTAGGTTTCCCTTGGTTTGATTTTAGTATTGATTAGAAAAAACAAAATGGCTGACAGGTGGCCATCTTATATTTTGACTTCTAAAGTTTGTTATCGCTATTTTTCAAGAAGTATTGTATAGATCTTTCTCAAAGGTCATGTAAAGGTTTGTCTTGGTCCCTAGTTATGCCAACAGAATGGCTTCCAGACGACCATTTTGGATTTGGCTGATAAAAGATTATCATCGCTATTTCTGCAAAGGAAGGTTCAAAATTCTTATCATTAAGAGCATAAACATGGAAGAGAAAAGGAGGGAAAAGATCAAACTTTCAAAGAGCAAATGAAAAGTCAAACAATGGTGGTTGCCAATATCCCTCTGGGATCTCTTGTTGGAAATTGTTTTGCGGTATGTTACCATGTCGGGAGAGAAGTCCTGATCCCTCTTTTATAGTGATGATAGAGAGGTAGATTGTCTGGTTAATATAGGACAAAGCAATGAAAAACACCCTTCTGAAGTTTGAACTAGTGACCCTTCAGTCTCTAGTTGGACATTCTGCCACTCGACTGAAGGGAAGTTCCCACCATGTGCCAACTGAAATGGAATAAAACAAAAACCAATAGATTAATTTCTCGTAATTGGTCGTATATTGGCATCATCTTCTCCGTCTGTCCGTCCGTCCATTTCTTGTGAACGCAATTCCTCCTAAACTAATCATCAGATTTTCACGAAACTTGCTCAATGTCACTACTACAATGGGTAGATGTGCATGAAGGGGCGATTTTTCGGGTCTTTGATTTTTGTAAGATTGATGCACTTGTGAAATATATTTATTACTGAAGACTATTAAATATCCCCTTTTTCTTAGCTTCTACATATTGAATTATATCATAAATCAGTCTAGTATTTCCCCTATATATCCTACTGAAATCAAACTTGTTTGATCTGCTTACTTAATACTTTTTCATTCTACCTGCTATAAACCCTGAAGCTATCTTTTATACAAAATTTAAAAAAGAAAGTGGTCTCCAATTTTTCAAATAATGACAGGTTTTATCAAGTAAGTAAGTAATATGTCTTGTTTTTGAGTATACCATAATTAATTGATCCAACTATGAAGTTGATCATATTTTTGTCTTGTCTCTTTTATTAATTGATCCAACTATGAAGTTGATCATATTTTTGTCTTGTCTCTTTTATTAATTGATCCAACTATGAAGTTGATCATATTTTTGTCTTGTCTCTTTTATTAATTAATCCAACTATGAAGTTGATCATATTTTTGTCTTGTCTCTTTTATTATCAGTATTCAAGAAATTTGAATATTCCCACAAATACAAAACACATGTGGCATCTCCAGAGTCGGGGAGGAAAAGTTGGTTTCCACTTCCTGTGCCAGTGACAGTGTTCAATTGTGGTTCCATTTTAAAGTTTTATTCAAAATGGCTTGTTAAGTACCAGGATATTTACATTGAAAAATTATTAAATACCAAAGTAATAAGAATGTAGCCATCAGGCACTAAAGGCACATAAGCATAGCTCTAGATCTGTTATGGAAATATGGAACTAAAATCAGACTTGACATGATTACCTCCCTTCTCATATATGTTGCCTATATTATTTGATGATCTGAAAACTGGAAGCAGTTTTCCATTGAGAAATAATCTTGAAGCAAATGGAGACGACACAGCAACAAGTTTTTATTTGGTTGATTTAAATTTAGTTTGACTATCTGAAATTTTTAAGTTTTAGTTTTCAAGTTACATTTTGTTCAGATGTAAATCATTCTCTAGATTAGTAAACATACATTCTTGTATCACTGAATGTAGTCTTATGTAGATGTAATTGAATAAAAGTGGTAGGCCAGTTACATCACCACAATGTTTGTAGTGCATTCATGTAAGGGGGTAAAACTACAAGAAAAGGTACATGTACTTTGCTACTGATTGCTTGGTAAACAAACGTGACACTCTTGTGAAGGCTATGCATTTTTACATATTATTTATTCTGCAAATAATTAGTTTGGACATGAAATATTCATTAAATGGATAAAAATATGTATCAATAAATGAAGCAGTAAGTATTCAAGTAAAAGCTGCATACACTGTGCAGTGCAGCAACATGTGTGGACCATTCATTTTAGGAAGGTTACTCTAATCTCATTCACCCAGCCACTTGATCTGTTTGTAAATTTTTTAAGAACTGGATGAAGGGAGACTTTCTCTGCTGGAGTACTGCTTCAGGTTTTCAGACCATCTAAAGATAAAAGCAACACATATAGAAAGGAAGATAACTCAGTCTAGTCACTGATCTAAAATGCATTCTCTGGTCTTTGAAGAGCACCACTTGAGCCCATGTGGTTCCTGAGATTCATTCTTATTAACTTGGGTAGAAGTTAGTAATATGTGATAGTAGATCATTGATTTACAGGAAAGGGAGAGTAGAACCTAATTCAGATGTTAAGGAACGGGATGGGAAATGTTTCCAAACCCCAATAAAAGAATTAAGAGTTCTAAACACCACAAAGAGGTTTTGTATTACACTCATGTCTACATGTTTCAGCTTGTTAATGTGGTGGTCATCAGGATCCTGATGATGCCTGCACAAACAGAAAAACTTGTAGACAGTAAACAGCACTGTAAACCATTTTGTTGTAATGAGATTCTTTGTGTTATTAGTAAGGCAGTCTGTAGAATCTACCTATAGTGCCACCCCAGGATACTACCTCTGAGTTTCACATTTTACTGTGTGCTCACAGAAGCCAAAAAAAAATGGTTTGCTTTAACCTCAAATGTAGGTTGTATGGAATTTTGGTTTTAAAAGAAAACAGAATTTGAACTTGAAATTTTAAAGAAGTAGAAAAAAAATGGATAAACAATTTCATATAGCCATATCAATACTCTGTAGCTGGTATATCTCAATGGGTCATGTTGGATAGGTGGAATATTTTTAGGATGTTAAAATTATTCTTTTTTTGTCAACCATTTTCTTTTTGCCTTGCATTTTACATAATTTGATAGTTTTTGCAATGTATTCTTTTCATAACAGACATTTTCTATTTTCTTTTTTGTATCTTTATTTCATTTAGATGAAGGATGTTATTCAGTCTTATCTTGGGCATCTGTCTCAGCAGATAGAATACTTCAGACCAATAATGGAAGAACCATCTATTGTGTTGGCTGCAGACAGTGATGTTGATGAAGTAGATCTACAAAAAGTCATGAGTAAAATACAGCACAAAAAGAAGTGTAAATTCCAGCACAATTGTGGTTTGAGAACATATGTTCATATTGAGAAGAATATTCCAATACAAAGTGTATTAACAGATTCTGTGATAACATGTGGAATAAATTCTGATGAACTCTTTCTTGATGAATCCATAGATATTGGTGAAAAAACAAGCACACAATCTGGTGATGATGGTCATCACCTGGACGATGAAGTGAGAAAACACTATAAAGTGGACACAAGTACATTGTCTTCCTCTTCAGATAAACCTTGTCAAAAAGAAGACTTTCCAGAAGATACAAGTAATCAGCGACCAGTACCATCTTTGGATCAGTATTTAGCTCTTGATTGCGAATTTTTCGGAGTCAGCTTAAATGGAGCTGTCCGTGGAATAAGTACGTGCCACCTGACCACCTTTCCTTATATATACTCTTTTGCACTGTTTATCATACTAGGTGCATAGGCAGTGATCAATTTTCTGAATCTGCAGCATATGTACTGGTCATTGATAAGTGCAATACAGTAATACATATTTGTTGGGCTCAATTTTTGTGGTTTTTCCACAAAATACCATTTCATGGATACATAATTTTGTAGATAGATAAATTTCCTAATAAATATACTTAATATATTCATTTAACAATTTGTGGACAGAAAAATTGTTGAATACACAAAATCAATCAAAATCAAATTCACAGGAACTTGATAATTGTGTCTTTTTAAAGTCTTCCTCTCCAGAATGACTGATTGGAGTTTAGCTAATAAGATGTATATTTCACATGGAAAATATAATTCATATTATTATTGACTTGCTGAATTAAATATTGATGTAAGATTATATCCAGAGTGTCCCCTGTACACATCCTTAGGTAAAATGTAATACAGAAGAGTAGTTGCTGAATTCAGTACTAGTATAGGTGGTATATGTCAGGTATAGTCTGGGAAATTCAGATTCTCATTAAGCATGGATTCAGGGCATTGACTAATTTAACAATATTAAGTTAAATTATAATTCATGGTAGTGTAATTGTAAGGTATAAAACTTCCAAAGAGGGAGAAGAAGATGTCAACAAAGTGAAAAAGTTCAAAAATGACAATGAGAAATTATTATGGCATTTGTTTGGAGATATTATCTCAGCTTTTGACCACCTACTTTGAAATTGAAATTTGCTTAGCCTTTAGATACCATATGTAAATTGTACTCGTCCTTTTTTTTAATGACATTTTAATTTTATGATTGTACTTGGTTATATTTTCATCAGTTGAAACATTTTGATGCAAGCATTTATCACTTTATTAGTCAGCTGTAGGATAATGTATATATTGTTACACACCTATAATTAGCAAATGATTAATTAAATCACATTAAGGAAAAATTAAGCCATCTTCTTCCATAGCTTAGAGACATGGATATTATACTTACTAACAGGCAAGGACCATTGATTACTTGTAATCTTCCATTCGTACACATATCTCCTCACCACTATCAACCATGCAATCTCTTTTTAGTTGTGTTTTCCTGAAAGGCAGTTTGATCTGACTAATTGAAAGAGTAACAGCAACATGCTATTTCCACAATGTTAATATTGTCATTGATTTCTTCCAAATGGCCTAAGATTAATCTCCTCAATATAAAGTTGTGTTTTCCTTAATAGCATTTTTTTTCTCATGTCTTTTTCTTCTGAACAGCAGTTTTTTTATGTGTTTTCCTGAATAGCAGTTTTTTTCATGTGTTTTCCTGAACAGCAGTTTTTTTCATGTGTTTTCCTGAACAGCAGTTTTTTTTCACCTTACTGTGTTTGCAGATCTCATCTCTCAGATGTTAATCTGATATGGAATTATGTTTTCAAAATTATTCTCAGATGTAAATCATGAATCTGGAAATTTATTCACATATTTCCTCTCTCAGATGTAAATCTAATCTGGAAATTTTGTTACCATGAATCAACAAAAGTTGAAACTGTTATTGGCCTTTGTTACTGTTATGTTTTAATTTATCATCAAATCATAGCACTGTTTACTCTCTTTGGATTTCAACTCAATTATCATTTCTTAATTTGTACTGATTTCAATGCAATAAATCTGGAATATTTCTTTGGCATGGAACAGGTACATATTTTGTTATAATCGGGTGATGTTTTTGTCTTGTAGGGCGCTGTACTGTTGTGGATTATCATGGCAAGGTTGTTTATGACATGTACAGGTGTTCTGATGAAATCATCACTGACTACCCTATCAATACCCGCTACAGAGGCATCTGCTCTGGTCGCAGGACCAATGCTGTACCTTTTAAAGATATGCAGAAAACGGTGAAAGATTTAGTGAAGGTAAATATGAACTAATCAAGAGTTTTCAGGACTCAGGTGATCTTGGTAGAGACGTGTATAGGTGAAAAGGGCATGTATTGTGAATAAATGTTAAAATTTGTGTATGTTTATAACTGAAATGTGAATCCCTAGAAGCCTCTTGTTGACAGCTGTTACATTGTAGTACATGCATCTGCCTTAACACATAAGATGTTACATTGTAGTACATGCATCTGCCTTAACACATAAGATGTTACATTATAGTACATGCATCTGCCTTAACACATAAGATGTTACATTATAGTACATGCATCTGCCTTAACACATAAGATGTTACATTATAGTACATGCATCTGCCTTAACACATAAGATGTTACATTATAGTACATGCATCTGCCTTAACACATAAGATGTTACATTATAGTACATGCATCTGCCTTAACACATAAGATGTTACATTGTAGTACATGCATCTGCCTTAACACATAAGATGTTACATTATAGTACATGCATCTGCCTTAACACATAAGATGTTACATTATAGTACATGCATCTGCCTTAACACATAAGATGTTACATTATAGTACATGCATCTGCCTTAACACATAAGATGTTACATTGTAGTACATGCATCTGCCTTAACACATAAGATGTTACATTATAGTACATGCATCTGCCTTAACACATAAGATGTTACATTATAGTACATGCATCTGCCTTAACACATAAGATGTTACCTTGTAGTACATGCATCTGCCTTAACACATAAGATGTTACCTTGTAGTACATGCATCTGCCTTAACACATAAGATGTTACATTATAGTACATGCATCTGCCTTAACACATAAGATGTTACATTATAGTACATGCATCTGCCTTAACACATAAGATGTTACCTTGTAGTACATGCATCTGCCTTAACACATAAGATGTTACATTATAGTACATGCATCTGCCTTAACACATAAGATGTTACCTTGTAGTACATGCATCTGCCTTAACACATAAGATGTTACATTATAGTACATGCATCTGCCTTAACACATAAGATGTTACATTGTAGTACATGCATCTGCCTTAACTCATAAGATGTTACATTGTAGTACATGCATCTGCCTTAACACATAAGATGTTACCTTGTAGTACATGCATCTGCCTTAACACATAAGATGTTACATTGTAGTACATGCATCTGCCTTAACACATAAGACTCTAAGTCTACTTTTGTGATCAGCTGTCTGGTAAAAAGCCCATGTGTCCTGACTTTCAGACAGTTCTTGAGGTAATGTGTTTGACCACTAGTCTTATTGTAGGATAAAAATTGAAGATGATTATTTAGTGAAAATTCTATCATTTCAAGTTCAACAAGGTCAACAATTAAACAATCTCTGTGGAAAAAGTTAACTTGCCATGAGATCTCCCACAACCAATCACTTTCAAACTCGGTAGGCTTTATAATGATGACATGAGGTTGTGTTTTTACTGAATGACAGTTTGATTTGACCCAATTTGGAAGATTTACTGCTCCTTGTTGTTTTCATGAGATCTTTTTGCTCTGACAGTTTTTTACTGTTTTCTTTCAAAATTGCCAGGTATAAACACCAAGACATTAAGTTTGTTTTCTTGAATGAGAATTTGATTTGACCGTAAGTAGAAGAGTTACCACTCTTGGTTTTCGTAATGTTAATCTTCTTGTGTGATCTCTTCCTTGTTGTATTAAACTGGACAGCAGTTCAATTTAATGATGTTTGAAGGAGTTATTGCCCTTCATTTTTACAGCATTTTATTTTGGTACAGATAACTCCTCCTTATGTTTCAACTAATTACTCTGAAACATGATACCTATAAAATGAAATTGTTGTGCTCCAGTCCTAAATGACATTGTGGACATTTTCAGAAGAGTTATTGCTCTTTGTTCATCTCCTACCTCAGTTTGTAACAAATTTATTTTGAACTTAGTAAGCAGTAAAACCATAAACATGATTCTTTCATAAACAATGTTTTGATTTAATAATATTTGTTAGAGTTATTGCCCTTCTTTGGACATTTTTCTCATGTCTAGACAGTTTTGATCTTTATTTGTTACCCATTACTTTAAACTTGTTATGGTTTGTTTTTATCATCAAAACTTACAGCACAGTTTATAAAAACTCTTATTCTGTTAATGACAGGAAATCAAACCATTTTGGAAAAAGTTTGCTGTAAGATGAACACTGTCAAGCTTTATATAAATATCAGATCACTTTGAATTAGTAGATGTTTGAACAGATCCTTTTTGATAACTGAGAGAGATTTTGATACAATACGAGTACAATCTGTACAATCTACAATATAAGCACATCAACATGGATATCAAAACACCGGATTTGGGCTGTAAAAAACCCAGATGACCAATACTTCTTATTAAAAGTTAGTGGGTAGGCTCATAAAAATCAGTATGATATTTTCTGTACAGCAAAATAATTGTATGAGTAGGATTAAAACCAGGGATGGGTTTTTTGTCTGAACAATACTGTATATATCAAAGGGAATAATGTATACGGAGGTTTATCAGGTGTCTGTCAAAGCTGAAAGATGCAGACACTAACACAGTGTGTATAATTGTTGTTTGCCAATGGTTTTCATCACTGTGCTTTAAGGCGATAGAATCAACCAACTGTTTATGGCTGTACTTAAGTACATTTTACTATCATCTGTTCACCAGCCCATCACACTTTTTCCCAACTTTAGTAGGATTGTAGTACAGCCAACTGAGTTCTTTACCATCTTGTACATTGTGTATGTCATTGCTAGTATACTCCACACTGTTCATTTGTCTGATGAGGTGACCGTGTAGATCTCGTATAATACGTACGTCATTGCTAGTATACTCCACACTGATCATTTGTCTGATGAAGGTGATGGTGTAGATCTCGTACAATACGTACGTCATTGCTAGTATACTCCACACTGATCATTTGTCTGATGAAGATGACCATGTAGATCTCGTACACTACGTATGCCATTGCTAGTATACTCCACACTGATCATCTATCTGATGAAGGTGACCATGTAGATCTCATACACTACGTACGTCATTGCTAGTATACTCCACACTGATTATTTGTCTGATGAAGGTGACCATGCAGATCTCGGACACTACATACGTCATTGCTAGTATACTCCACACTGATCATTTGTCTGATAAAGGTGACGGTGTAGTCATCAAAAAGTCATGCACAAATCTCCTACTGGTTGTGTTTTAGGGACTTCTATCCTATTGACATTACCAACCTGAAGAAATGTTCTGAAATACTCTCTGATATTTACAATTAACATGGTTTCTTTGAACCTTTTCATTTCCTTAATATCATTTGCTACATTGTATTTAGTATAATTAAGAGTTTTACCGATCACTTCAGGAATTTTCCATTAATTCTCATTAAAGAATACTTTGTAATGTGTAGTGGTTAAAAACTCTTATTGTTACTAGATCTGAAAACAATTTTGGTTTACAGGGCAAAATCTTAATTGGCCATGGCATCCTTTCGGATTTGCATATTCTGGGAATAAAGCACCCTGCGGAGATGATTATAGATACTTACACTCATCCATGCATGAAACAACTAGCCAGGGATAGGAAATGTAAAGTAGCTTCTCTCAAGGGTCTTTCCCTGTGGCTTCTTGGTGAGTCTCTGTCTGAATGACATCAAGAACAGTTACAAACTTTAACAGATAAATAATAGTTAAGAATGACTTTGTTGTCAAAAATAACACATGTATTATATTACCAGCCTCCAACATTTTATGTGTGTTCTGAAAAAATTCACTGTCTATAAGGCAAGTGAGATTATGTTGAGTTGCTAAGACTAGAGTAAAAATGTAATTATGATGGCTTAATGTAATGAAAAATTCTTAATTTTTATCTTACCATCTATCATCTGTTTTCTATAGTCTGTCAGTAAATAACCCTTGTTATCACTATTTTTGGAGGAGAATGGGAGGGGTAGTTTTCAAACCTCATATGTAGCTTCCTTCTTGTCCCTTGTCTTGCCCATTTAATTTGGTCCCATCAGTGAAACAAAATGGTTGACAGGTGGCCATCTTGAATTTTGACAGTTTATTATCAATATCTGTCATGAGAAGTAACAGAAGGATATTTATCAAAACTGACAAGTTTGTTCCTCATGATCCCTAGAAGTGGCTGTATAATTTTGAAAATGAAACAGTTGAAGTTTGCTATCACTCTTTCTTGAGAAGTACTGGAGTGATATTTCTCAGATTTCAAAAGTATGTTCCCCATGGTCCTAAGTTGTGCCCATAGAACTTTAAGTCATGTCAGTGAATCAAACTGGCTGATGGACCATTGTTATTGCCATTTCTTAAGAAGTACTGGAAGGATAACTTATTGTGTATATTTCCCATGGTCCCTTTACAAAATGTGCCCATTTGAGTTTATGACTAATCAGTGAATCAAAATTGCTGAGAGGCCATCATCTTGGATTTTGACAGTTGTCAAATTTGACAGGTTCCTTTTGATCTAAAGTTGTGCCCGTTCAATTTTGTGTCTGGTCAAGAAAGGAAAATGGCCAACCATAGATAATCTTTTATTTTGACTGTTGAAGTTTGTTTTTATTGCTATTTCTTAGAAAGTTTGTGTTAGATTTTATAGGTAGGAAGATTTTATAGGTAGGATTCCCTTGTTATAGGTAGGATTCCCTTGTTATAGGTAGGATTCCCTTGTTATAGGTAGGATTCCCTTGTTATCAAAGAATTAAGAGGAAAATAGGAAAGGAAGGAAAAGTAGAGAAAAGCTCAGTATGGTATAGAACTGATAAAGATCATTTAGTGGTGGGGTCCAAGATCCCTCCGGGATCTCTGGTTTTCAAATGAATGACATTGATCTCATATCAATGATACAGGGACTAGATATATGAAAAATGTTTGAACAACTTCTTTGGAAAAACCATAAATCTGAGTGTATGTTTTGTGTTTCAAGGTAAGAAAATACAGGTAACTGGTTCTCACAGCCCAGTTGAGGATGCTACAGCTGCCATGGACTTATTTAAACTGATGAGAAAGGAGTGGGAAGAGTCATCATTTCTGCCTAACTCCACATCAGATGTCGATCTGCCTAACTCCACATCAGATGTCGATCTGCCTAACTCCACATCAGATGTCGATCTGCCTAACTCCACATCTGACATCCACTGTAATAGTACAATAAGATCACATTTTGTACAGATCGATGGAAGTGAGAAGGATGAGGAGCTGTTGGGAGACGAGTTTAGGCCCAGGGTATGTATGTGTGGTATACCAACTTATTGTTGACAAAATCTTGTTTAGTGTGTTAAAATGGATGCCAGTAATTCTGTCACCTCTGATCAGTTTTCTCCTTAGTTCACAAAGCTTTAGTGATGTAATTAGTGATAATTAAACCATAAATTGATTTTGATGTGTGCGACTGTATTTTATCTGAGAATAAGCCCATGCCTGTAAAGATAAAAAAAAATTAAGACTTTAAATGAAAAAATGTAAACAAATGCTCTTTCATCATAATACAATTACCCCACAATCAGACGTCAGGAAGAAGTACTTATTGTAAAACCTTGTGGAAGTCAGTATGTTTGTATCCATATGTCAGAGTTACTACATCGTACCTCCCTTAAACATTTTATAAAGAAAGCTTTTTTGGCTGAAATAAATTGTCCAGATGAAGACCCAGCGATTGGGTCAAAAATAGCAGACGATTATAAATAGTACCAGAAAACGCTTGAGTATGTTGCAGTTATCTTACCTGGCTTATAATTAGTTTATTCACTGGGGTATCCATACTCAATGCCACCATATGAAACCCGCATCATCTGACGTTGGCTCCTTTCCCTAGTTCTTTCTCATTAAAACATTAAGGTATATATATCTTTCTCTAGAACTCATTTAGAAGGTGATTTGTTTCAATGATACTAGTATTTGCCATGAACAATACATCAAATGAACACATGACTCTCTGGAATCATGAAACATATCTAAATGGTGTTGATGTTGTGATCCAAATTTTTATACGCCTTCGAAAGACAGACGTATTATAGTATGGTGCTGTCCGTCCGTCCGTCGTCCGTCGTAAACTTTTATTTGTCCGGAGATCTCCTCCTACATTTTTCAGCCGATCTTTATGAAACTTGGTAGGCTTAATCACCATGATATGAAATAAAAAAATCTTGTCTGAATATTTCCTCTAAACGATGTTTATGAACTTTTGTAGGTTTAATCTCTATAACATGATTTTATTTTTCTGAATTGAGGTTAGTTAGATGATATATACAGAACCATTCCAAAAGTATTCAATCACTCAATATTTTTACGATTAATTTGTGTGAATATTTGATCATGTGATGAAAAGGATCTTATATTCGTTTCCATTTGATGTGAGGTTTATGAAACTCGCGTCAAATTTTTCATTTTACCTCGCCAAAGGCACACCAGGTGGAGGACTGTAATTCTTGAATTATCTTCTTTGTTTTGGATATTTACGGGCGTGTTTTGTTCCGCTTTGCGGTACTGTTGTTGTTATTGCTATGTCAACACAGAGGAGCTGCAGTGGTCATGTGATTAAGGTGTCTGACCATCTTATCACTAGCCCTCCACCTCTAGGTTCAAGGCCTATGGGGCCAACCACCAGGTACTGGCCACAGGTCAGTGGTTTTCCTCCCGTAACTCATCCTCCACTCTCATCCTCCTGGCATGTCCTTAAGTGACCCCAGCTGTTAACAGGACATAAAGCAACAATAAACCTAATCAACCCCTTGGTCTTCTGTGGAGTCTAACATCATTGTTCCGTGGTATTCTTTCAGAACTGTGAGACAGATGTCCCTGAGACTCCACTAGACAGTGTAAATAACATTGGCTATGGTACATCAAACAGAAATGTCTATGATAAAGGTAATATTACTACTTGGTTCTTGTGTAACTCTTTAACAGCCTGCCCCTGTCAATTTACAAAAGATTTTTGCAGCAATTTTACAACAATTTCTCTTCCTATGTTACAGTTTGTCTTAATTTCCCAGACTGAAGAATTTAAAAAGGAAATAATAATTCAATACTACCACTGCTTTGTCAGTTGCTTAATTACAACCGATTTACTGAGTTGTTAAAAATATTGTAGATATCTAAGTTGGACCTTGTTAACAGTGTTTATATATGTAAGTATATATAAGTATGAAATCTGTGTGGAAGATTTAAAGTCGTGTTTTGTTTCCTTCTTGGTTACCACAGTTCCTTTAAGTCCAATCAATGAATTATTAATGATTGTTGACAAGTTACAATGGGAGCAACCAGACTATCAATACAAATGGCAGTCATCAGGAATGGTTGTTTGTAAGGTAAATATCGAAAATTATAATGTACCCTTGGGTGAAGATATATGTAGGGAATATATTAGTATTCTGTCAGTCCATTTGTCCCAGGTAAATTTCTTGATTTTCAATATTGAATGATTTCAAAATAATGTCAATGATCAAATGAATGTTGATGTGGCATGCTTGTTTTAATAAAACCTCAGGAACTGAGAATACACCAGCAATGTCTACCATCAGCAATCTTGAATATTCTTAAAAGACACCATGAATACAAACCCAGAATTACTTAATATGAAGTCAACTGACGAATTAATTTTGAATAAATTTTTAGTCTGCTTTTTTCTTGTCTTCATACATTGGTGTCCTCACTATATCTACTTGATATATTGCCCCATTTCTATCAGATGTATCTCTGTGGGACTGAAGATCAGTATTGAAAACTGTTGTCTGTATATATCTATGAGTTTGTTTAACTTTTTGCAGCTTTTGGTGAACGGTGAAGAATATGAGTCAGATGCCTTTCGTAGTAAAAAAAAAGCCAAAGCAGCTGCGACAGAAGGATTTTTTTGTCATCATCGGAAATCAAACAAAGAAACCAACAGAAGTGTAATAGAACGGTTAACCAGCAGCGATAGAGAGAACACAAGCAAAATGTCATGTGAGCAATTTTTCACAAAAATCAGGGAGCCTTGGCATGTTGTGTGTCTGACAACTTCTCATGGTCTCATAGTCTCATGGTCTCATGGTCTCATGGTCTCATAGTCTCATGGTCTCATATTCTCATGGTCTCATAGTCTCATGGTCTCGTAGTCTCATGGTGACCTATTGTGATCACCTTTTGTCCAGCTTCATGTGTTGTGAACCAAGTATAGTATAATCAGAAAGGCCGTAAGATGACCAAACTTCAAACTTACCTAATTTCATGACCCCAGTGTCTCATATTTCCCCTCTTGGGAGGGGATAAAGTTCATTTTGAATTAGAAATAGTCCAGACTTGGTTAGAATTCTTACTATAAGATGGCAATTTGATTATACGCACATATTGACCTTGCCTGACCCCTAAAGACTGATGGGCAGGGCCAAAAATGAATCAAAATCCCTGGCCAAATTCAAGAGGGATATTAAAACCCACCTGTTTACGTCTGCATTTTAGACTCTAACGCAGACGTCCTGTATATACATACTTTCACCACTACTTACTTGATTTGGTTACTGTGTTACATATGTTGATTACTGTGTTATACATGTTCTATAAATTTTGTAGTAAGATTATTATGTAATTGTGAAGCGCATTAGAGTATTTTGTCAAAATAGATAGTGCGCTATATAAATGTTGTATATCATTATTATTTATTATTATTATTAAATTGACTGAAATTTCACAAATCTCAATTCCCAGATAAGAAAAACCAAATACATGAACTCTTCATAGATGGAAGTGTCTTAGGGTGCTTTACCAAAATTGTAAATTTCATAACCCCAGGGTCTCGCATTTTCCCATGGGGAGGGGGTAAAATTTACAATAGTATATGAATTACGTTTTTGAGCATAATTTGTTTATTTTCTTTTAGAAATAGTTGAAACTTTGATAGAATGATGGGTTTTATGATATGCATATATATTGACCTTAGCTGAACTCTAAGGGCTGATGGGCAGGTCCAAAGGGGTTAAATTGACTCCAACTTCAAAGGATCATCATGACACCCCAGTATGATCTATAAAATACTGTTCATGGAACGAAGAGTTTATAAGGAAATTACATCTTGGGGTGTAATTTCTTTTAATTGAAATTGGTTAGAAGTTTATCATTAGACGACAGTCAATGTTATGCACAATATACATTTGTATTACATGTAAAATGTAGTTATCTGACTTTGTTTAATACAATTATTTCCAGGACATGTTACAAAAAGTGTTGTACCTCAGGTGACTGTTAAGACCCTTGGGCCTCTTGTTCTTGAAAATATAACATCACACAAGTTAGAGTCAATGCATGAAAGTTAAATCAATGACATTTTGGGTTATAGGGATAAAATGATATTCTACATAAGGCCTTGTTGGACAGAAGAAATTGACACGTTGTAGACTGAGATTCAGTAAGGCCTTGTTGGACAGAAGAAATTGACACGTTGTAGACTGAGATTCAGTAAGGTCTTGTTGGACAGAAGAAATTGACACGTTGTAGACTGAGATTCAGTAAGGCCTTGTTGGACAGAAGAAATTGACACGTTGTAGACTGAGATTCAGTAAGGCCTTGTTGGACAGAAGAAATTGACACGTTGTAGACTGAGATTCAGTAAGGCCTTGTTGGACAGAAGAAATTGACACGTTGTAGACTGAGATTCAGTAAGGCCTTGTTGGACAGAAGAAATTGACACGTTGTAGACTGAGATTCAGTAAGGCCTTGTTGGACAGAAGAAATTGACACGTTGTAGACTGAGATTCAGTAAGGCCTTGTTGGACAGAAGAAATTGACACGTTGTAGACTGAGATTCAGTAAGGCCTTGTTGGACAGAAGAAATTGACACGTTGTAGACTGAGATTCAGTAAGGCCTTGTTGGACAGAAGAAATTGACACGTTGTAGACTGAGATTCAGTAAGGCCTTGTTGGACAGAAGAAATTGACACGTTGTAGACTGAGATTCAGTAAGGCCTTGTTGGACAGAAGAAATTGACACGTTGTAGACTGAGATTCAGTAAGGCCTTGTTGGACAGAAGAAATTGACACGTTGTAGACTGAGATTCAGTAAGGCCTTGTTGGACAGAAGAAATTGACACGTTGTAGACTGAGATTCAGTAAGGCCTTGTTGGACAGAAGAAATTGACACGTTGTAGACTGAGATTCAGTAAGGCCTTGTTGGACAGAAGAAATTGACACGTTGTAGACTGAGATTCAGTAAGGCCTTGTTGGACAGAAGAAATTGACACGTTGTAGACTGAGATTCAGTAAGGCCTTGTTGGACAGAAGAAATTGACACGTTGTAGACTGAGATTCAGTAAGGCCTTGTTGGACAGAAGAAATTGACACGTTGTAGACTGAGATTCAGTAAGGCCTTGTTGGACAGAAGAAATTGACACGTTGTAGACTGAGATTCAGTAAGGCCTTGTTGGACAGAAGAAATTGACACGTTGTAGACTGAGATTCAGTAAGGCCTTGTTGGACAGAAGAAATTGACACGTTGTAGACTGAGATTCAGTAAGGCCTTGTTGGACAGAAGAAATTGACACGTTGTAGACTGAGATTCAGTAAGGCCTTGTTGGACAGAAGAAATTGACACGTTGTAGACTGAGATTCAGTAAGGCCTTGTTGGACAGAAGAAATTGACACGTTGTAGACTGAGATTCAGTAAGGCCTTGTTGGACAGAAGAAATTGACACGTTGTAGACTGAGATTCAGTAAGGCCTTGTTGGACAGAAGAAATTGACACGTTGTAGACTGAGATTCAGTAAGGCCTTGTTGGACAGAAGAAATTGACACGTTGTAGACTGAGATTCAGTAAGGTCCGATTAGGTGTTAACACTGAGTGTTCTTAGGTTTTTTGAGACCAAATCTGAAGAGACTATTACAATTGTTTTTGTCCATCATAAATCTGTAAACAAAATTTGCTCAAAAGCACCTGATCCAAATTTAATCAATTTTCCTTAACTTAATGAATTTTCTTCGACATTAAATTGCCCAAAGGAAAGCAAAATATTGCAGAAGTTAAAGAAATTTCCTTGAATTTAAGCCTTTCTTTAACATATGAAATGCTTTTCTGTGGGAATTCAGATTTCTTTAAGTTAAGGAAGATTCAGAGGAACAGGGGCCTAAACCAGTTCTAATGAAAACTTTTAGCCCACCATGACCATAGACCTTTGGATATTCTGAACGGGACACAATGCTCACTTTTTCATGTGGCTGATGACACACTTTGCTGTGGTAGATTCAAGTCTCACAATTTCTGTCCATTTTGAAAAATAGTCAACTGTCAGTAGGTACGATTCATTGTTGTAGTCAAACAGGTCCACACCTATTTCAGATCATTGGCTCCTTATGGTCCACACCTATTTCAGATCATTGGCTCCTTATGGTCCACACCTATTTCAGATCATTGGCTCCTTATGGTCCACACCTATTTCAGATCATTGGCTCCTTATGGTCCACACCTATTTTAGACCATTGGCACCTTATGGTCCACACCTATTTTAGACCATTGGCACCTTATGGTCCACACCTATTTCAGATCATTGGCTCCTTATGGTCCACACCTATTTTAGCCATTATCTCCTTATGGTCCACACCTATTTCAGATCATTGGCTCCTTATGGTCCACACCTATTTCAGATCATTGGCTCCTTATGGTCCACACCTATTTCAGATCATTGGCTCCTTATGGTCCACACCTATTTTAGACCATTGGCACCTTATGGTCCACACCTATTTTAGACCATTGGCACCTTATGGTCCACACCTATTTCAGATCATTGGCTCCTTATGGTCCACACCTATTTTAGCCATTATCTCCTTATGGTCCACACCTATTTCAGATCATTGGCTCCTTATGGTCCACACCTATTTCAGATCATTGGCTCCTTATGGTCCACACCTATTTTAGACCATTGGCACCTTATGGTCCACACCTATTTTAGACCATTGGCACCTTATGGTCCACACCTATTTCAGATCATTGGCTCCTTATGGTCCACACCTATTTTAGCCATTATCTCCTTATGGTCCACACCTATTTCAGATCATTGGCTCCTTATGGTCCACACCTATTTCAGATCATTGGCTCCTTATGGTCCACACATATTTTAGACCATTGGCACCTTATGGTCCACACCTATTTTAGACCATTGGCACCTTATGGTCCACACCTATTTCAGATCATTGGCTCCTTATTGCCACACCTATTTTAGACCATTGGCACCTTATGGTCCACACCTATTTTAGACCATTGGCACCTTATGGTCCACACCTATTTTAGACCATTGGCTCCTTATGGTCCACACCTATTTTAGACCATTGGCTCCTTATGGTCCACACCTATTTTAGACCATTGGCTCCTTATGGTCCACACCTATTTTAGACCATTGGCTCCTTATGGTCCACACCTATTTTAGACCATTGGCTGCTAATGGTCCACACCTATTTTAGACCATTGGCTCCTTATGGTCCACACTCATTTTAGACCATTGGCTGCTAATGGTCCACACCTATTTTAGACCATTGGCTCCTTATGGTCCACACCTATTTTAGATCATTGGCTCCCTATGGTCCACACCTGTTTTAGATCATTGTCTCCTTATGGTCCACACCTATTTTAGACCATTGGCTCCTTATGGTTGGTGTTATGGTGTTTGGCACATATCTCACACGAGTTGACTCGGTCCTCAATGTCTGGTGACATGCCTAGCCAGAACAGTATGTCTCTTGCTCTGTTCTTACATTTCACTACACCAAGATGAGAAGAGTGAATAAAGTCCAACATTTCATTTTTTATAGACCTGGGAACTATGAGTTTTGAGATTTGTACATGAGCCCATTAATGCACGATATTTCATCGCGAAAGGTCCAATATGAATGTAGCTCATCTGGTACGTCCGCCTTGTTGTCCGGCTATCCGTACAGAACAATATCCTGTAACTCATCATCTGTAGCAGTAGTCTCTTTGAGTT